TAAGTATTTCTCCGTACACATCTTTTTGTACCATCATTAAAATTTTTCGCTTAGCGATTTCAAGCTCCTTGACTTTGAGGCATCCTATCTTAACAGAACCTTAATGTCCTGGCGAAAGAAGTACTGTCAAAAGGTCTACGAACCTTTTAAGCCAAGCTATAGCCCTGACCAATTGCATCCATTCCGAGTAGTAAAGCAGAATAGGCGATGGGTTACATTTTGTACTGCTAAAGTTAACTGCAGCTGCTTCTCTGAACTCAAGTTGGTCAGGAATAGGTTCTGGATGTTTAGTAATTGCATCTAAATTGCCATACAGTAGCGTGGGAAATTTAAACCAGGATTCCAGATCGGTCATTTTCTGTATACCTCTCGATGTCCAATCAGCCGGATTCTGTGACGAACTTACATAACTCCATTGTTCAACTCTAGTATACTGGTGGACAACGGCGAGACGATTAGCTATATAGACGGTGCATCGCATTTCGGTATTCCTAATGTAGCACTATCATGGAATCCGTATGGAAATTCACATCGCATAAGAAGTTAGGCAGACTCTTCCGTATAACTTCACTCAACGTTACACTTAAAACTGCTGCTGCCATCTCTAATATCGGTATGGTGACTTGTTTGACAGGCGCCACTCTAGACTTGCTGTATAACAAGATACAGTATGGTTGTGCCTTCGTATAACCCACCCGAGCATAAATAACCGCTCCGTAAAAAATCTCCGAGGCGTCACTGAACAAGTGTAACTTCATCCTCGCGTCAGGTTCGTCGATTCTGTTCTTTATTCCTCGAGATACCTTAACGTGATCCAACTGACGCATAAAACGCACTGTTTAACACGTATGGATCGTCGAGGGGCTGGTCCCATCCTATTTGTTATTTACATAAATTTTGCAGAAGTAGTTTGGCCGTGAGGCACACTGGAGTGATTATACCCAAAGGGTAGAACAGAGACGAAACAACCGATAGGATCCCTCTCCTTGTCACTGGCTTATCCAGCGCATCGAAGTGGAACTTATATACATCCCGTTTGACGCCCCATTCTACACCGAGAGTTCGATGAGTAACAGCACAACTCGCCGATACTCCAATCAACGACTCCTCTTTACCTACATCAGGCAGGATGGACCTTACTTCTTCCGAATTAGTGATCCACTTCTTTAATTTAAAACCTCCTCTACATAATAATTCACTTATCTGATTGATAAACTACCTTGATTGGTCACAATTTGAAACGGACATCAGACAGTCATCAACGTAAAAGTTGTTCTTGACCGCGTCCACAACATAACCTTCATAATCACTGGAGAAGCTTTGGGCAGTTTGATTCATGGCAAAGATCGCACAAAACGGCGATGAAGTGACACCAAACGGATGAGAGGTCGTCTGAAATTTGGATGGCTCCTCAGGCGTATATCCACCTTCCCACCACATAAATCTTAGGGCTCCTCGATCCGATTCAGGTACCGTCACTTGCATAAACATTTCTCCAATATCCGCAGATAATGCGACTGCCTCCTTGCCAAAGCGCAGTAATATACACACTAGATCAGTACTGCTGTCCGGTCCTTGATAGATCATATCGTTTAAGGAAATTCCAGAAAACCTGGCAGCACAGTCCAGGACTACTCTCAACTTTTCTGGTTTTTTGGGATTCAACATGGGATGGTGAGGTAAATACCACTGAGGACGATAATCTGACTTCAAATGTAATTCAGGTACCTTTTCCGCATAGCTCTTGGCAATATTATCTTCCATAGCTTTAGTATATATGACATGTAACCTGTTATCCCTTATCGATCTTCGCTTCAAGCTCTGTAACCTATCGCTTGCTACTTCCATTCATAGATGGGTTCTGTTTCCATGGTACCGGACCTACAAAATGACTGTCGTCGAAATGTGTGTCTCTTTCTACAATTTCAATCGCGACATTGTTACTAGAATAGACATCAGCAAACTTGACATCATACAGCTTACGTATTTGGTCTTCCAATGTTTGTACTTTACTGATATGATTAACAACCCTTTTTCTATATTCCGGGCATGATGTAGGTCGGAATGTAGTCCATCCCAGTAATGTTTTTACCGCATATGGTGTTTTCCTCCCACTTAGCCGCAGACCTAGCACCTTATGTGCTTCCTTTACATCAGAACCAATAAGCATTAGAACGTCTTTGGAGTCTAGAATTTCTACTGTTATATGATTCAAGTGCGGCCACTTAATACGGTTACTGATTGCCGACATCGTAGGCTTATGCCTTGATATGCTTGATACGATCAAAGCCCCTTCAATCACAATGTTCCGACCGATCTTAATAATACACTTCGAAGGTAGCGTTCGTAATCCCTGCCGTTCTGTTACTCCCTACATTCTGGACCATTACTAACTCATGGTCTTCCTTACTGCAGAATTTCTCCTGGATACTAGCAAAATCAACGAATTGAAGGTAGAACTCAGTAATATGTTACAAGCCTTTCACGATCTACTCAATGTAGAGGAAACTACCATGGAGAACTACTGGAAATTTTTCAAGGAAGCAACCTCTGCAATATGACGTGTGATTCTGGGCCACAAGAGGCACCATCTCCTCTGATATTCTGGATAAGATTCAAGAAAAATAGAAGAAGAAAGTAGCAATAAATAACAGCTGAACAAGAGCAGAGAAAGCAAAGGTGCGAGCTGAATACGAAGAAGCAAACAAGTAAATAACGTGCTACGTTATAAGTGATAGGTGGAAATATGTGAAAGATCTAGTAGTAATGGCAGAAAAAGCTGTAAGATAGGGATACAACGAAGAAACTCGTGTGAAAACATTGTAGGGCAGAACTACCAGTGAAGAACAAGGAAGGCAAAACAATCACCGACATTAAAGAACTGAGTGTCAGGTGTGTGGAGCACTTTATAAGAACCCTTGAACAGACTACTCCCACTGAGGCTACTCAACAATTAAGCAATTCCCACGAATTTCCCAATCAATTTGTTGCAGGACGGGCCCTCACTCAGAAACTTCAGTGTCTCAGAAGAAGGTCAAAGAACACACTACGCCGAGTATTGGAGACAGACATGATAAGAATGAAGAGTGATCGCGTAAAACTGGATAGGTAGGCTCAGAACAATGAAGGTTGAAGAAAGATGGTCAACGATCTATGCTCCATTAAAAGTGATCATTCATTCATGATTTTGACGTAAAACAACGGTCTCTGTAATACTACAACGCAAAATCATTGGCGTCTTTTTGGTCTGAGGAATACTAGATGTACATCTGAATGGTTTAGCTGAATCCCATAAGTTCAGTGTTATCCTTGCTTCCTAATCCAGTTATGAGAAAGTGTGAGGGTAGGTAGTCTAGTCTGATAAATGTCTTCTTCCGGAATGTGTTTTTGAGCTTAACACCATGAATGAATTCGCATTACCGTTTGTCGTAAACGTTCCACCTGAAAGTGACAACCCAACATTGCTTTGATTCAGGTTGTACAATGTTCTCTTTTCGACTTTTTTAAATGCCGAAATTTAATTTATGGTGGTGGGTCTCATTCAGCTGATTCACATTATTGTAATTTAGACTGAAATCGATCGATACTTACGAAATCAACCCTGTTGACCTCGAGGCTAGGTGTCTAGTCAGTCTTTAATTCTCTTCAGCAACATTACTAAAATATTTCCTGTTACTGATACTAGTAAGATACCTCTTTACATTTCTGGTCATGCCATTTCGCCTTTGTGTCTGCTGAGAATACTGATTTCTTCGATCACTGATGGAGAATCATCTACATGAAAGTCGAAAGATGCTTCCTTTTTGACCTGCGAATTCAATGGTGATCATTTTCAAAAACTCTTCTATGTGTTTCATCTTCATGTCCGACTGACTCTGGATCTCAATGACCGGTCATAACTATCTAAGTTTTCAATGCGAGGAAACTAACAGCAATAGTTTTCGTATTGGGTCGCCATAGTTGCTGCTCATATGCCAATCACTACTTATTATTTAGACTATATACTAAGATTTCTATGGAATGTTTGATGACAGGATAATCCCCAACTGATGGACAGTGACACATCTGTAACATTAAAATCCAGATGATTGTCTTCTGTAATTCCTCGTTAGGGTAAACGTACGTTTAACTATACAGAATGTTCGATCATTCGTTTACCGACTGTAAATCGAAGTTAGGATTTTATAGACGATCGTCAGCTACGGTCAGTTAATTTAAGGCGTTGTTTTACAAATCAGAGAGGCTGGCATACACTGGATAGAAATCTGCCTGAAAAGTCCAAGTAAACACTTCAGGTGTAACGTACTCGTTCAGCATAACCCTCATTGAGATGAGGAGTAGCGTACGTGGATCTATCGCGCGATGCCCGCGGAGGTTAGCTTCTAAATTGAAACACCACTCTTAGATGTCGAGAGATGAGGGGTCCAAGGGTCGTAATCTTTAACAGCTTGGGTATACTACCTGATGTAACACGAATAAAACATGTAGAAATGCAAAAAATCTGAGTAAACAACAATAATATCACAATGCTTAAAAATATACTCATTTTTATAACGCTATAACATACACAGTATACACAATTCCCTACCTGGTGTACCAAATCATGTCGGGCACAGGCCTAAAAATGCTACAGCATTCGACAACACTGTAACAACCATTCAGACCAGGGGTCAAGAATAAAGAGAATCAAAGGTATGTATGGAAGATGATCTGTATATTGGGAAGCGTGTGATCTAACCTAGCTGATTGTCGCAGATGAATGCGTAGCACCCAAGGGTAATCTAGTGAGGTTGGGTGACCCGGTACCTTCAGATAGTGTGCCCAGTAAAAATAATGGAAAGACTTTAAAAACCATCTGTTTCGGGGATTTATTTACCACTTCAAGTTCCTATGGTTCTATCACTTACTTCAAACATATATAAATTTCTAGTATCAGCCTTTCTTTATATACATTAAATATGCTTGTCTAGTAAAAAAGCATTTTTCAAAAGGCAATGAATGTTTGGCTTGGATTATGTTTCGAAGGCACAGGCCTAGTGATATTAGCACCGTTAAGTCTAAGAAAAAGTTCCTAAGTGACAAAGAAAGTACGCACAAAATAAAGCACCTGAAAATTTTGATTGGTAGCCTATAAATTTCTTTTATTTAACCGGTGTATCTCTCAGATAATCTACCTAATGATGAAATTCAACCATTTTTCGTTGAAAATTCGTCTCTGATATTCCAAGTGTTCAGTGACTGTTTTTTTAGTCTAGAGTGGGATGTTAAACTAAGGGGTACGTTGTTGTTTGTTAACATTCCAAGTTTATAGGAAGTAGTATTTGCATTAAAGAGTTAGAAGTAGTCCTTACCGTATTTGAGGTTGTATCTCTTTCCGGATGATTTTATTTTTAGAAAGTACTGCTACTATTGCCGGAACATATTCACCAGAGATGGCAGCACAACTGCATTAGTAAGTTTCTTTTGGCTTTGGTAACAGTTCATGTAGTTGAAGTAATTGAAGACCTTTTGTACGAAAAGAACGCTCTCACTATCCGTAAAAGGGGGATAAGATTGTTTTTAATCTGGTACCAAATACTTGGATTAAATGCAACATCTGTCTGCCACAAAATTTTTAACAACCTTGTGCCTGAATTTGGCCCACTCATCTCGGAATACCAAAAACGTGAAAAATGTGATCAGCACAAGCAGAACTATTTTCAAGGGAAAAAGCTGTCGACAGATGCGCGTGGACAAATGTTACAAGAGTCGAAGTTTTCAAACGTTGTTGCTCCCCGTGAACGGGTAGCAGTCCTAACAGCCACTGCTCTAGGAGAGGATGAATCGGTAAATCCTTTGATTTTTGTGTCTAAAAAAATGATAATTTTGCAGTTGAACGATACGTCCTTAGTCCTGCTTCAGGCACTGCTACGTTTTCTTGTGTCAGAATCGTTCAAAGTTGAGTGGTCTCAGCTTCGGTACGAGCAACATTTAATGCAGTTATGGTTCCTGTTCGAAAAGTTGAAGCATTCGTATCTCCCTGTTATTTTTCCATGGTAAGTGTTACGAGATGTGAATAATAAAAACCCTCATGTCTGTGACAGTTTTTATTCTTTGGCTTAAAGACGGTTTACTCGAGGGGTTATGATAAGCTCTGAAACAATTACGCGATTCGTTTATCAAGGTATTTTGGGATGGTGGGGAAAATTTGTAGCTCCACCACAATCTTCAAGATATATCTTTGCCTGAAAATACAGTCAGTTACAACGGCACACATGCTTAGGTTCACCCAGTATTATTCAGTACCCAGACTGTACTAGGTTGGTAGCTTATATACTATATGTAGAGCCTATGAGCTAACGATGAATCCGAAAAACTGGTTAGGGATATACATAATGAAAAGACTTCTGGTCCTTGGTCGCTTACTTAGTCTGAAGCAGTACTCGCAAATAATATGACCGGTAATTGTGTTTTACATATGAAAGTATCCACTGAAAATTTATTTCACTCGTAGTGCTCCGTCTAACTATATAGATGCAAAACATGGCTGGTGAGAGTTGCGAATATTCGGGTGTTATTGGTGTTCTGTTATAAATGTCTTCAAAGCATGGCTCGTGTGTCCTGGGACAACCGAGTAAGCAATGCTGCCGTTAGAAAACTGGTGCTAGGTGAGGATGGCAGGTCAATAAATGAAGTATTGAGACTTCAACAGTTGAGGTGATTGTGACGTGTTGCGTATGCCTAACCACCAACTACCTCGTCGAGCTATGTTTTGCGAGGTTGTAATAAGATGGAAGAAAACTAGGAGCGGCCAAAACAAAACAGGGCAGAAATCGATGAATTCACTGACAGGTGGACTGAGTCATGTTGGTAGATGTAGATTATTTTGTTCTGGCTCACGAGACGAAAGTCACTTGTGGTATGAGACCTTGAACGGTATGTCTCAAAATCGTTTGCGATAGCGCAGGTGTATTCATTCATTGTGTTCTCTCGAATTCTAACCTTTTGAGTTCCTCATCATCTGTAACTTTTTCTTTTTAAGATGTTTAGAATATGAATGTAAGCTTCGTGACTAAACTATCCAGCTCAGAGAACGAAACCCCAGCGATATCATTCACCTGATCTACAAATCTCCACTATCCAAACCTGGTTTTTTAAACTAACAGTGTACTCAAAACAGCATTTAAAATTTATTACATACCCCTTTCCTTTTAGTTCCCTTAGGTATGAAAATACACTACTTGTCTTGATCAGTAGTCGTATATGTAGCCCATCTTATAAGTCAAACAACTTAAAAGCAACTCTCTAGAAGCACCAAAGCTCAGTTGGATATTTTTTCTTTTATCTGTTACTGTCTTGTGTAGGAGGAGAGCTATAATCCACCTATAACTTGTTGAATAAAGTCAATCTGAATTTTGTGTAGTTGATAAGTTACAAGTTTTCGATATCTAAGTCATTTGCCGTTCTGACCTGTTTAGATGCTGTCATTTAAGAAACCAAACGGTAATCTAAGATTTTGAGGACAGATATACTTGTGATAAACCCAAAACACTAAATTTTATTGCTAAGTTATCAACTAACACCTCAGATATCGATGTAAATGTTTTAGTAAGTCGTTGCAATCAAATACTCCTCAGTTTTCAGGCTAATTGCATGGATTCATCAATGCAGAGACACTTTACTTTTAACAACAAGATTGTAGTTGTTTGATGTTTTTTCACACTCTTAACTCATTATTTTATTTAGTTTTAGAGTAATGTCTTTTCTGACTGCTTTATTCCTATTCATATACAGTTTATCTCCTTCATACTCAATTTATGCGCCCTCGATTTCATCCCAGACAAACAGCACAGTTCCATTAACTTCAAATATTTTACAGGATTACCCAATCCATCCGTCACGTCTTTCATACTATCAGTTGGAGTTCGCCTGTTGGTTGGCAAATTTTGTATATACTGGTCCACGGGAATCAAGTTATACAATGTGAGTTTATGCTTTCTCGGGAACACGCCTATAGTTTACCTTTTTGTGTAGAAAACGTTAGATAAAGCCGAGTGACATAAATAGTTTATCGTGTTAACAGATTATGAACCTTTTCATTTTGACTCAGAAGTTTTGCAAGGCATATTTTTAGTAGAGCTTGTAAAACTCACTAACTAAAATTCCTTTCCTTTTAGCCCTTCAGATGGTGGCCTCGATTCAGATTTTATCACCCATGGATCTGTAGTTGGTTCTACTGGCCCATCTTTGAACCTGAGTGGCAGTTTCCCATGGGATACACATGGTGATCCGAACGACTTTCTCCTTTCTCGACATTTCCGTTCATTCATAGGCTGTCCAGGACACGGTGAATTTGAATCCGGATCATATTCAAAGACTACTAGTTATTCCAAACTTTCGACTTCCCCACCCGTCCAGACATCACTTTATCTGCGAGACGGTGATGAAAAGTTCCCCCAGGAACCAACAAGTTTAGTTAACCCAAATCAACCAAATAGTTATTTGCTCAAAGATACCTCTATAACTCCTTCCGCCGTCTCAGCATATGTACTTCCACAAAAATTTATTTTAAGTGAACCATTCTTCCATTACAATGAAAAAGTCGTAAGTTAACATTTAATTTAGAAAGTGAATGACATTTTGGATTACGGGCGAGTAGTTCGGTCCCATGAGTTTACCTCGGAGTCTTTTTTCTGTCCGACAGCTAGTGTTTTATTGTCTTGAGTCTAATAAATAAATTACTCACTTGTTTGTTCCTATTGATATTTCTAACAGCTCACTTACACATTTTTGACTTGGGATGTAATCGGACCACTATTGATGATTCCCACATGGTCGCTTATATCTATATCATCGTCATATACAGTATAACGTTTCTTATATATATATATATATATATATATATATATATATATATATATATATATATATGAGTCAGTTGCAACGCAGAACTTCGTACGTATGTACATAAGTTCATGTTGCCATACTATATATATATACCTTAGGAACTCAACTTCATCGAAAGGATAAGGATCACCTATGTACGTGGGTGGGAGAGCTAAATAATATTTGCGTTTTGAACACTGAATAATCGGAATTCATTCGAAGTAATGGTAGTTTTAGGCTGTCAATAGTAGTAGTCCTCACATCGTTAATTACAACTAACAATCACATTCCTTTGGATTGATTTAATTTGTAGCATTCCTTCGGTATGTTGATGCAACCACCATCCTAACCACTACTTTTCTCTGAGTTATCATTATACCTAATTATTCATGAAGCAAACATTTATACTATTTAGATTCCTGTAAATTTCGTCATAAATTGTAAATAGTTTATGCAATGATAATATTGCTTTAGTATTAGTGAAGATTTATGTGTTAAATATTGCTTGTGTAATCTGAATTTTCGCTAAGAATTATTGGGTGAAACTATTATAGCCTTTATTCAGATTACAAGAAAATCTAATTGGATTTTCGATAAATACTAACTGAGAATCATTTTCTATTCTATATATAATTTTCAATAAAATTTACTTGAGGAGAAATAGTTTTTAGTGTTTCTGAGTTACTACTGAATACACTAAGTGCATCTCTTACCATTAAATTAATTTATCTAATTCGAAAATAAACCGTGTTTTTTTTCAGGTGATAAAACTGTTCATTTTATTATATAGTTGAGAGTCGTATAAATACTTTCTCATTGTCTAATAATCTGTTTAAATGTACTTGCGAATACATTTACTTTTCAGATTTCTATGGTTCATGAAGTGTTATATGGATGTCGACAAAACATTAATTTGTTACAGGATATTTTTCATCAGTCATTGCTACTTCCTTTGGAATGTCATAAAGCTCTTTACTATATTATTACAGTGTATGGTTCATGGTTGGAAGTAAGTGTTTATTCAGTTTAACAACTTAGAAATTTCTTGTTGTCTCATTGTTGAAATCCTGGAAGCGTTTTCAAGGACTATAAATGTTATGTATATGATTTTTCTAGCTGGTTGATAGATTGGATCATTATATTTATTGTGTATTGATTAACATGAGTGTCGAGGTCATCTGTGTTTAAGATTTGAACTTTTCGCCACTCAAATGTGTATTCACGGTTGTTTTTAGTAAATTATTGTAAGTACATATATGACATGGCTTTTGACAACTGATTGGCGTTCATATACAGGAAGATGAAGTAAGCTGTATACGAATATTGATCGGAAAACGGTAAATTCAAACTGATTTGATTAGTCTTGTACGATATATGCCATTCAGATAGCATGTCACCTCACATATAAACATGCATGAGGTTTGTAGTCATCGAAAACAAATTACACAGTATGGTCTGATGAAACCATAGGATTACACTTATTTTCAGTTTTTTAATCTTAAACTGTAAATTTAATAAGTAACTTGTACTAACTCCAGTCATTTTTAACTTTTCATTTCCTGCATTCATTTAAACTTCAGTTATATTTTTATGAAACGTCGTTTAGCTCAATACTATTTTCAGTATACTAGGTTACTGTCAAACAGCAGTTGCCTTCATAACTTGTCTGACAAAAATAGTTTAATGAAACTATAAAATTAACCATTTTATAAATTATCCTAACTTTCTTAGATGCAAAACGTTATGATATCCTAAGGTAATCCAAGTGTCTGTGCGATCTTGATTAGTGTCTTATGTGTACTGACTAGTCATAATACTCAGTACTACTTTTTAATCACCCGTCAAAACTATTTACGCATTGATTTTTATCACATTGACAGTGGGATTAAATGTCCTTATTTGTTTCACAACACGAATATAATTCTTATTGTCAGTTACAATTTATTTAATATATTGCTATCAGTTCAAATGATTATCCTTGAAGTTCTTAATAAAATGAGATTTTCGTAGGCTTAATGATGTATGACTAACTCCAGTAATAATTTCACAAATAATGCCTTTATTCTGTCTGTATAAGAGTTTTCACCCATTTCAATAGAACTATCAATCAACATTACTATTGGTCATTAAACAACTGATTTCACTGAGATTATGTTGTGAACTATTAAAGGTAGTTGAATAAAGCATTATTTTAACTAATAACTATTTGAATAGTCTTTTTCTTCTAACAACTAACTACTTATTATTGCTTTGCTTTAATTCATATTTAGAATAAATACAATCGTCCAATTTTTATGCAAGCTTTGGATAGTCCAATAAAAAGTATTTATCCGGTTAGTTTATATATTCATTTGTTGGTTTCCTGCTTTTTTTTAATATTTTGATGGGATTATGTTTTTGCTTATTTTAAAATAATAAATAAATTGATTGTATTGCAAATATATTATAATGTACTCATTAATTAGTAAGCAGTAAGTTTCGTGTTAAAGAACCATTATTACAGTATACAATTACACTGTATGAATTGTTTTCATTTACTGTGACGCATTTTAACTTACGATATAAGTATTCAAAAAAAATATTCTGTTTTAGTAACTAACTATCGTTTTACTTCCTAGAACTACATAAATAAATGAATTTTGAAATTTGATATCATTTGTTATGTACACTTTTCATTAAGTTTATTATACTTTATAGTTATATCATAATGCTTAACACAGCTTCTAATTTTTTAACCAACTGATTAACTAAGAATAAGGTAGATTTTAAGTGAAAATATTTTAAAGGTGAATATAATTGGCGGTAGATGGTGGTAGGCTGGGAGATATGCATTTAAGAAAACAAACAAAATCAAAGCATAACAAGTGATGTAAACTATTTTCTATTGCTTTAATTTTATTTTACACGCATGCATACTTTTTTTTAGCTACTTTTACTTCCTCGGTGTATGCAGCCGCGAAGTAACATCCGCCCTCATACTCATAAAAGCACACCAGACCAAATTGGTCACAATCAAATCCTTTCTACACTTCCTAATAACTCTCTTATCTCTTTGACCAACTCTTCTTTCTATCGTTTGTCACCTAGCGTCGCTGAAGCAAACGGTTAGAGCTCACGAAACATTCGTGGTCTGCTGAAACCCCGTACTAAATTACATATTGGAGCTTTTAATGTTCAAACCTTGTGCCAGATAGGGCAACAGGCTTCATTAGCTAGAACTCTGGAATCCCGTGCGATCGATGTATGTTGCATCTTTAAAACGCGCATACAAGATCTGAGTAAAATCACCAATTAGAATTCGCCTAGTGCAGATAGAGAAACAACATGGTATACGCTTTGTGTTTCAGGTGGCCCTGATGCTGCTTGCGGTGGCTTCGCTGATGTAGGTATAGTATTAAGTCGTCGGACAGAAAAAGCTCTCTTTGGCTGGATCTCGGTAGAAAGTCGCTTGTGCACTGTCCGGCTAAACTGAACGGGACAGACTCGGAAGGATAGGGACACTTGCCGTTGCCTCTTCGGCGTATATGCCTACGCTCCCACTGACTGCAGCTCGGTCGAGGTAAAAGATGAGTTCTACAGAAATCTTTCGGGCCTCCTCCAAAAAGTTAGGCTCTCTTATATAGTAATAATGGATGGTGACTTCAACGCTCAGTTAGGTAGACTAAGTGAAAAGTGAAGACACCTGGGTGGATGTTATGGTGTCGCGGCTTATAAAACAAATAATAGTGACCGTCTGCTGCAGCTATGCTCAGATAGCCAACTATTTCTAGCAAACACTAACTTTAGGCATAAAGAAAAACATCTCCCAAAGCCAACCCGACGTTGGACCCAACTAGATCGCATCGCTATAATCCATCGGTGGAGAGACTCTATTGAAGACTGCTGCTCGTTCTGGATCAGTTGTTTAGACTCAGACCATGCTGTAGTGCGAGTGCGTACTTGTTTACGTCTCACTGGACTTACTAAAGTTTCGCAAGGAAACCTCTTGGGGTCCTACTTAATGATAATAAAGCTAAGAGTATATTTCCGGAACAACTACAAAAACAGTTAGGCGGCCATCTAGTAAGTGATTTCCATCCGGAGGCAACTTGGAATAATATCGAAAAAGATGTGGAAACAGCAGTGGTATATTCTGGCAAGGTAAACCATAAGGTTAGGGAGAAGCGGTGCATTTCAGTCGCATCTACCGAACTGATGGATGCTAGAAAACTCATCCCGCCTGCCTCTGAGCATGATTAAGAGCGAAGTCAGCTTAGGCGCAGGCTGATGAAAAGCCCACACAATGATCGCGAACAGTGGTGGGTAGCGAAAGCAAGGGAGATGGAAAAGGCAATAGTGATAGGCAACAGTAGGTAACTATTCAGACTTATCAAGGAAACCAGTATTAGGAGTTCATCTGTTAGCTAAACTATCGGAGAGTACTTCAGGGATCAGTTCAATTGACCCTCAGCCACACAATGGTTGTCCACGATTTTCAGTCAACCGTAATGGCAGATTGACGTACGTCCTCCGACTCTTTATGAAGATGAGAAAGCTATAGGAAATCTGAAGCAAGGGAGAGCAGCCGGATCTGATAGATTGACCCCTGAGATTTTTGAGGATAGTGGTCTAGTTTTAGCAGTTAGGTTGACTGAGATCTTAGGTAGAATCTGGGAACTGGACGTAATCCCATCCAACTGGTCTTAATCGCTGGTTTTCCCAATTTGTAAGAAAGGACAAAAGTCCTCTTGTGATAATCACAGAGGAATCAGTCTCATTAATATGGTTTCTAAAATATTGTCCTCAACTATACTTAGACGCCTAACTATAGCTCGTGAAGAGCAGACTAGAGAAAACCAGGTTGTTTTCAGACATGGACTTGGATGTATAGACCTTATTTCCACACTTCGACACGTGCTGGAACAAAGGCACACGTTCAGACGCCCCACAATAGTAGTATTTCTCGACCTTAAAGCGGCATTCGACTCCGTTGATTGTGAGGTTCTGTGGCAGTGTCTGTCATTAAAAGGTGTACCAAAGAAGTACACTAACCCTATACAAGCTCTACTCGAACACTACAGGTCGAGTAAGAGCTTATGGCGAACTGTCATCGGAACTGATTACTTGAAGAGATGTCTATCAGGGCTGTCCACTAACCCCATTCTTGTTTAACTTAGTGGTAGATATGCTTCTAGAGTTAGCATTATCATCATCTGACTCTTCAGGAGTAGACCTTCCACCAGGTGACACGCTTGTTGACTTAGAATATGCCGATAACATAGTTCTGTTTGGTGAAGACGCCGACAAAATACAGTTATTATCTGACTACCCTAAGCAACAATGCAAGCATGTTCGGGATGCAATTCTCCCCGTCAAAATGCCAAATGTTGCTTCAGGATTGGCTTGTATCGGCACCTGAACTAGCGATAGGGAGTGAAGCAGTTGAGCGTGTTGACCGCTTCACTTATCTCGGGAGTCTCATCAGTGCTGACGGCCTGACGACTGACTAAATCTCAGCACGAATACAGAAGTTTCGGTTGGCTTTTGCCAACGTTCTTCACTTATGGCGTAGGCGAAGTATCCGCTTGCTGCCCAAAGGACATGTCTACTGCGCAGTAGTTCGCTCGATCCAAATTGATTGCTTTGAAATATGGCCAGTCAGAGTAGATATTCATATGTTACTGGTTTTCGATCATAGATGTCTCCGAAGCATTGTTCGTGTATGCTGGGACAACCGAGTAAGCGGTGCTGTCGTTAGGAGACGGGTCCTAGGCAAGGATGTCAGGTCAATAGATGAAGTGTTGAAGTTTCATCAGTTGAGGTGATTGTGACGTGATTTCGTAATAGGATGGAAGAAATCTAGGGGCGGACAAAACAAAACATGGCAGAAATCAATGAATTCACTGACAAGTGGACTGAGTCATTTTGGTAGGTGTCACGAGGCCCGCGAGATGATAGTAATCGGTGATTAGGGACGCTGAATGACATGGCTCAAAACCTTTTGCAATCCTAGCATTCGGAGTTCCTCATCACCTTCATTTTTTTCTTTTTGAGTTTATTTCACTAGATTCTATTCTTGAATAATATCCTCGAAATTTAATCTCTGAGATTACTCCTTATCCCTTTACCACCTCTACTTCTATGGCGTTTGAATTGAAAATTACATCTTTGTGCTAATGTGTTATGGCAACTTGAACTGATATACGTACGTACTTACGAAGTTTTTACGTTGCTGTTGATTGATTGATTTTTAGCTACGTTATTGCTATCTGAATAAAGTTTCACTGATTCAACTGTATTGTTATTTCTGTAATTTTTGTATGAACTTCCACATTAATCGGTTTATATTTTAAGGTCTTATCGTGCAGTTTACTTCCTAAGAAAACTTTTAGTTATACTGGTATTTTATGCAAATTTCAGTTGTACATAAAACTCTATGTCATATTATTGTTATTATTGTACACTTTATACTACATAGTATTTATTGTCCATAGTAAATATTTGTTCTTTGAATTTTACTTTCTTCAAGAATACAAGTATTTTTTTTATTGTTCTCAAAAGTATGAACTTTTCTAACCATGTTAAATGTGAAAAATAAATAAATCTTTTGTTTTTTTTTCTTTTTCTGACGTTGTAAACTCTCAGCCAATGAAATCACAAGTCAACACATCTACAACTGAAAATAGTCGAACGCTTAAAATGAATAACAACATGAATGATTTTAAACAACAGATTCAGCAATCAAAAATTGAAGATCGATCTATTCGTAAAACTAAATCTGACAGCGACGTTGATGATGATGTTGATGATGATACAAATCAGGATGACATCAATGATCCAGAAGAATTGAAAGGTTGTTTACAAACTACAATTCAGGTTAGCTATAGCAACATGAACATTTAACTAAACTAACTAACAAACTCATTTATTCACTAGTTAGTTAGTTAGTTAGAGTTACCTTAAAATAACAGAATTCATTGTTTGTTTTGTTTTACTTGGTACCTACTTATGGTTACATCTACATGCAGATCTCAATGATCAATAATTATTATTGATTTCGTATGTATGTTTAACTATTTTACTTTATTTTTGCGACCTGTATTAAAGTAAGAATTCAAGCAAGTTTTGCACACAATTAATTTATTCATATCCATTTTAAGTGATCTCATTGTTTTAATTGTATTTGCTTGGAAAACTTTAAAGTTATTTTACCATTTATGTAATATACATATATATATATATTTAGTTAGTTTCTTAAATTGATAGAATCTACTGACCTCTCTGTAAATTATTGATTGCTTCAAATAACAAATTACGGTATTTCTTTTTTTGATGCAATGATAATTGTTTATAAGTTAGTTTCAAATAAGGAGGATTCCAAGCTTTCATCTGTGAAATTCTGATCGAATACAATAATCTGGTATATTTTGTAGCCATCAATATGTGAAAACCTTTATATTCCCGAGAGATCTGTAGCTGGTTTTGTTCAAGACTGAAATCATAAGCGCCAACCTCTAAACTCTTCTGGTTATGATTATCCTGTAGGATTAAACTGCGCAAAAACTCCATCTGTAAACTAAAGTCAAAGCAGTATTGTAACCCTTGGTTTACAAGCTGTTGTGTTAATTGAGAACCTACATTAAATAATAAATTATGAGCTTTTATTGTCATGTACTAGTCGTATGAACCTTTTTTTAAAATGTTCTATACAACGTTTTTTTCGTGAAGTTGTTCCGTGCTGTATTTTCTGATGAGTCCTTACAAACATATATCAGTAATGTTATTGTACATTATCATCGGTTGGCTTTTCATGAGTGGACCTTTTACTAGGGAACTCGCTTGCTGATGACAGTCCTATTCCGTGAAGATGCTGACAAAATACAGAGTCTTCTGACTACCGTAAGCAACATCGAAAGCATGTTCGGGATGCTGTCTTCTCCCGTCGAAATGCAAAATGTAGCTTCAGGATTGGCGTTTATCGGCACCTGAACTAGTGATAGGGAGTGAAGCAGTTGAGCATGTCAACCGCTTCACTTATCTCGGGAGTCTGATCAGTGCTGATAGCCTGGTGTGTGACTAAATCTCAGCACGAATAAGAAGGTTCGATTGGCTTTAGCCAAGTTGCGTCACCTATTGCGCAGACGAGATATCCGTTTGCTAACCAAAGGATGCAAAACATGGCCAGTCAGAGTAGAGGACATTTGTAGGCAATTAGTATTCGATTATAGATGTCTTTGAAGCATTGCTTGTATATCCTGGAACAAGCGAGTAAGCGATTCTGTCGTTAGGAAACGAGTATTAGGGAGGGATGGAAAATCAGTAGATGAAGTATTGAAACTTCATCAGTTTAGGTGGTTGGGATATGTGTTACGTATGCCTAACCACCGACTGCTTCGAAGAGCTATGTTTTGTGGTGTAGGAGTAGGTTGGAAGAAAGCTAGGGGTGGACAGACCAAAACATGGCACAAATCCATGAAGTCACTGACAAGTGGACTGAGTCTTGTTAGTTGGTGTAGGCTACCTGGTTGGGTTCCGTGAGACGAAAGTCACCGAGACCTTGAACGAAATGGCTCAAAGTCGTTTGCGATGGCGCAAGTGCATTCATTCATTGTGTTCTCTCAAATTCTAACCTTCTGAATTCCTCATCACCTCTGTATTTCTCTTACTTGAGTTATCTCAGTGAATCAGACTTCTCGAATCATATCTTTGATCACTAATCTTCTCCATTATTGCTAATACTTCTACTATTTTAACCACTATGGGATTTGAAGTGTCAGTTGCGTCTCTGTGTTGATGGGTTATGACAACCTGTACTCATGTACGAAGTTCTATGTTGTAACTGACTGACTGTACCCACTGTAATCATTACTGACTTTTACTAGAGCCATAGATTTTATTTGTCATTCCTTCTATCGAAAAGCAGATCAACTGATAGTACACTACTTTGCACAAACACACACTGGTATCATTGAACCTTTTGAGTGTTTTTGTTTAAAAATTATTTTGTTTTTTCCACATACTCTGTAGATTATACTGGAAAATACGGCCAACATATTTTATGCCAGTAGTTTAGATCTTAATTCATCAGGATTGCAAAATACAAGTAGAACAAGTACAAATGGAACAGATTATACAAAATATCAAATTGAGTTATGCCGTTTGGTGTTACAAATTTTTCGATTAGCTAGTAACAGTAATGAGTTAACTTCAGAAACCTGGTAAGTATGCATTAGGAACTTTTAAAAAGTTATCAAGATTATATTTTTACATTTGAAAAAAGAAATTTGTTACTACTTGCCTTTTTTAAAATTCTCGTACATTTTGTCGTAAACAGGATACGTTGTTGATTCATATCTGACTAGTTATATTATAAAACACTATATAATAAAAAAGTATGTTTTTCTGATAGCAACTTTAGAAACGTACTTTTTTGTGTAGTAGGCCAGTTCAAACACCTGTTTAGACGGTAAAATGTTGACTAAATATGAATCTTTTGCTTTGTTTCTGACCATTGTCTGAAACTGCTATCAAGTAAACATATTAAGAATTTTACTTTACATCTAAACGATTCAACAATATGACTAGCTGCAAACTACTCATTAATCAACAGTATTGGCTAACTAGATTGTAGTGTTTTGAGCACAAGGTGATCATTTTACTTGCTTGAAAAGTGGTTTATCATTAGTGAACATAGTTCAGTTCAATTTAAGGAAACCCTCAGCCAGTCAGTCAGTTACAACATAGAACTTCGTACATGAGTACATAAATTCAAGTTGTCATAACCCATCAACACAGAGACGCAACTGACACTTCAAATCCCATAGTGGTTAAAATAGTAGAAGTATTGGCAATAATGGAGAAGATTTGGGATCCAAGATATGATTCGAGAAGTCTGATTCACTGAGATAACTCAAGTAAGAGAAATACAGAGGTGATGAGGAATTCAGAAGGTTAGAATTTGAGAGAACACAATGAATGAATGCACTTGCGCCATCGCAAACGACTTTGAGCCATTTCGTTCAAGGTCTCGGTGACTTTCGTCTCACGGAACCCAACCAAGTAGCCTACACCAACTAACAAGACTCAGTCCACTTGTCAGTGACTTCATGGATTTGTGCCATGTTTTGGTTTAGCCACCCTTAGATTTCTTCCAACCTACTACACCACAAAACATAGCTCGTCGAAGCAGTCGGTGGTTAGGAATACGTAACATGTCCCAATCACCTAAACTGATGAAGTTTCAATACTCCATCTACTGATCTTCCATCCTTCCCTAATACTCGTTTCCTAACGGCAGAATCGCTTACTCGGTTGTCCCAGGATATACAAGCAATGCTTCAAAGACATCTATAATCGAATACTAATTGCCTACAAATGTCCTCTACTCTTACCGGCCATGTTTCACATCTATATAGTAAGACGGAGCGAGCTGTTGCGCAGTACACTCGTTCTTTGGTTAGCAAACGGATATATCGCCTGTGCCATAAGTAAATCCTATCACTGTTTAATGCAAATGATCACCCTACTTATTGGTTTGAAAGATAAAGCTTACAAGCATGAATTTTCTGTATTGTTGTTAATTCAAGGAAACCGCACTTATTTTTGTTCTCAATGGAAATTGCGGTGGGATTTTACAGTTAGATCCCATCTGCTTTTGTTGTTCGCATTTCTAATTGTATTTTTCACATATTACTCTGAATGAATCTATCTATCTTTTCAAAGTTCATGGTCTTTCTTCATACGTTCTGCCTTCGAATCAAGTGGTTTCCATCCCATTTGTCTGATGCGTAATTTTCAGTTCCAATCCGTCAGTTAAGATCGTTGATTTTCCCCAATGACTTACATCTCATTCATACTATTAGTTGGTTATGGGTTTGATCATCCTCTTTTTTTTCATATTTTAGGTCGAAACTATTGTCCATCCTTATGGATATAATGCGCAAAACAATGGTTAATACATCGCCAAAAAACGTTCAAAATTACAAATGGTTATCAGACAATAAACTTACACAGAATCTTTTTCAAGTAGGATAGCTGTATAGTTGTTTACATTGTAAAATAAAATTTCTATTGTTTTTGTGAGGAAATTCAAAGTCTTATATTATCTAAATGTGTTAGATTTACAACTACTTTGTTGACTTTAATTTAGGCATATATTTCTGTTAATAGTTGGAGGTTTGAACAGTACAGTGCGGGTATATCTATTGAGTCTTGATTAATAATGTTAGCTGAATGATGGGTGGAACGGAAGTGAATCTGTGTTGATCCAACAAATAGAAAATTTGTGTTTTAGTCATTTGAATTCACTGACTTCTTATATGACATTCAGTTATTAGAATAAAAATCACGGATATTTATTTAATTGTTCTGTTAATTTTTCTCTTTACAATGATCGAAATCGATGAAGTAAATAAGCGCTGAGGCAGGTTGTTAAAAAGTTTTATTTTACAAGTTCTAGTTGTTACTATATTCGATTCGTAATGTATCGTAAGTAAATGACTAGAACTGTTCATTTCATTTGTTTCATACTTTGTTTCTACTAGTATGCAATCTAATAGCTGGACTCCCAAGATGCCTCAAATGGATTAGATTTCGTATATTTGTACTAGTGCTTACTGGTACAAGTAATTTTAGTGAACTGCCGTTAGTGTATCTAAAGGTCGTATCTTCTCTTTCGGTTTATGTCATAATACTAAACCTTATACAATTTTTTCTTGTTTCTTGCAGACTTTGAATGGTGCTTTATTACGTGCATCTCTATTTTCTACGATATCTTCAGAGCCATGGGATCAATGTTTGAATGTTTATTCTAAGTTAACTCATTGGCCATCACTGATAATTGAATGGAAGGTATGTTACATCATGAAAGAATTCCATATTCTTATATACTATTCGCGTCACATTGAATTAAGTGTTACAAATATTTTCTAAATTTCATATGATTCTTTGGTGTTTTAGTACAAAGGAAAGGTAGATGAGATTCTACCTTCTACAAAGTAAAGTAGTCTTACTCAGTCCTTCCACGTGACCGAAGTGTTTCTATGTATAGTATCTTTTGTCCATATCTAAAATGTACATGTTAGATTTAGAATATCTATAATTGGCTTTTGGTATTACTGAATTATTGTTAGGTTGTGTAAAAAAATGATTGAAGAGACCCCTAATATGGAAGTTGATTTAATTTTTAAGATAAATCGGATGATGCATTCATAAGGACACTTTAATCATAATAAGGTCACGTGAATGAGAAATGACTGGACATATTTTTTTTTAAAAAAAAGATGATCAATACAAATAAATGTGGATTAAGTGGTGTTCATCACATTGCAAATGTCACCACAATGTTAATAGTTGATATGACAATTTCAATAGATCAGTACTATTCCTTTCGGTCTACCGTAACAGGTTTTGATATGCTTGAACATCGAACTACTGTAGTATATCACAAGGCGAAAATTTGATGGATTGTAAACGTGTATTTACAATTTTCATTATTTCTCTCTCTCTCCCTCTCTATCCTTTTTATTAATAATACCCTACAGAAAGTAATGCGAATGTTGACGTGTACAATGGCTAAATTGCTGTACGGCGTAGATTTGTCAGATTTACCTCAAGAAAAGAAAGGACCACGAATTAAACGTTTAGCAGGTATGTTTAATTCATGCAATGTATAAGTCTCTGTTTTATTTGCAGTGCAAAATGAATGACTAGTTTTTCAATATACACATACCATGTTATATTGTCTGTAAATTTTGTAAATTCAGTACACATATACATTGTGATGGAGTTTCGCCCTCTAAGCTGGATGTTTTTTGGTTGTTAAGCTTTCATGGTTCTTCTGAACAACATCATCAGCACAAACTTCAGATAGGAGTGAAGTATTCGAAATTCTCCACTTATGACCCGTAGCTTGTTCTGTTAACCTCTATCTTAATTGGTTGTTATTGACCTTAAACCTGTCGTTGTTTGCACCTTTATTTCGATTGTATCCCCTTTTGATATGTTTCTTGATCCTATGATCGCTTACGATTTTTCTGATTGGTTGATAAATTGGTAAATGTCGATGTGTTTGTTGATTGCTGATTGACTTGAGTACCAAAGTTCTGAAAATTCTCTAGTGTTCTTTGTGATCCCCCTATCCAGTATTTCAATACTGTCCCAATCGAATTTATGTCCATAGCTATTCGTACGTGTACATATAAGGGATGAATTGTAATGCAGTTTAACTGTTAATTGATGTTCACGTAAACGAAGTTGAATAGGACGTCCACTTTGTTCTATTTAGTTCTTTCCACAGTCTGAGCATTTAATTTTGTAGATGATATTTGGTTTCTCTTCTTTTGTAATATTGTCCTTTGGTTTGCATAGGATTGATTGATCTGTGGGCTGTGGGCTACACCTATTCTAAATGATTTCAGTAATCGTTCTGCGTGTTCCGATGTCTTTTATGTATGATAAAATGATCCTTCTCTGAGCTGGATGTTTTCGGTTGTGATTACGAAACACCACCACAATCATCCACCTGAGCTACAAATTTTCTCCACCATCTCAAGATAAGATGATCCTTTTGTTGGTTCTTTTGCTTGATTTCGTTTCTGTTGATAGTTTCAAGTGAATACTCCACTTCTATCTAAAGTTTGTGCTGATGATGTTATTTAGTAGAAGAGCAGTGAAAGCTCTACAACCAAAACATCTAATTCAGAGAACAAAACTCCACCATAATCATCCACCTAAGCTATAAATTTTCCCCCACTATCCCAAAACACATCTATATGTTACAAAAATGTGTGTAGTTTAATAAGGTGTTTCACATTCTGTTTATGATCAAATTTCTCATTATCTTCTTTTAATCAATTTTTTATTGAAAAAAAATGCATTTTGCAAAATAAATTTTATTTTGTAAATATATCTATATCTCTATATATATCCATATATTATATAAATGTTATAGATGTTCATGAGAAATGGGCGAATCTATCATCATATGATAATTTTTTATCTGTCCACCTTATTATTTCGCCTAATTTATCATTCAATAATTGTAATTTGCACAAATCCAATGAACCATCAATGAATAATGATCAATATGAAGAAGAAGTACAAAGTGATGGTGAGCAACAACTACCACCACAAAAAAATCAATAAAGCTAGATGAAATCAAACTAATGTGAAATCTCACCAACGATTGATTACATGTCTGAATTATGCTGCTTCTTTGTATTTTTTGTTATTGTTGATTTTTATTGATCTCTGATGTGAATCATGCAGTGATATCGCTGAATGAATTTGAATAGTGGTGACAGTTGTAGCAAGGCTGATTATATTATTATTATTGATCGTTTTTTTCTTTGTCCAACAGAAATAAATTGAATATTGATTATTTTACTGTTGATTACTATGCATGAATTCCATATGGTATAATCATTATTTCTTGCTAATGAATGATTCCCTTTCAACATTTAAACGACAATCATCATTGCAGAATACAATGAATTCACGTTGTAGACACCTTTAGTTGAAGAAGAAAAATGTTATTTGACGATATCATTTACTATACAATTGTATTTATACTTAATTTTACTTGCTAAAAATATCAGTCCACAGTAGAATAGAATAATGTTAAATGATGTGAAAAAAAACAGTTGAGGTTAGTATCTTGTCTGAAGGCGAGTTAAATAAATCATGGGTTAATGAAAATGTTTGAAATGAAAAAGATTGTCTTGTTGATAGCAGTTCAATGTCTAGTTAATATTTTTGAAAATAATTAGAAAGTAGTAGAAATAAATTAATTTTTCTGGCAGAAATAGACCAAAGAACATGTTGCACCGGAGATTGAAGACAGATATTAAGAGAATGATTAGTTATTAGTACTACCTGAGAGGGACAGCCCAACACAGAGTTGGAGAACTCTGTGCTCTATCCCTATCCTCCATGAGGGGTAGCAGGTATAAGTAAATTAGTAGAAATGAAAAGAAATAATAGAATATGGAAGATCGGAAGGGAGAGAAAGACAATGGATGAGTGCAGTATTTAACATACATGCAGTATAGGAAAAAGTCTAAAAGGTTCAATGAAAGCAATCTTGAATACTGTGTTAAAACTTTCACGCTGTACTTCGCATACTTTTCAAGTAGATTATTCCTTACTAATAGACAATTTGTTTTCCGAATACTATGCTTAATTTTATAAATGCGAAGTAATCATCCTATACATATAGCTGAAAAGAAATCACCTCAATACAACATGAATTCATTGTATTCTGCAATTTACGTCGTTCATGCTTTTGGTATAATTATTGCGAAATATGATTTCTACTTCTTTCTTCGCTAAATCAATCGCATGTTGATTACTCTAATATTAAATATGTATAAAAGTGTATATGATGACTTCTTTGTACTTATTTGTATTTACTTTTTTACAGGCTCTACTAATTCAACTAATCGAGCTCGACCGAAATCATTGACTGAAGCAGCATTGAATTATAATAACAATACTGTTACTACTAATACTACTACTACTACTAACATTAATAATAGTGGTAGTTTAGCCAATGTATTGTTATCCCCTCCTGTTCCTTATCCTAGTGCATTATCTGTTCTAAGTATTCATCAAAATTCACTTGATGATGATAATTTAATGTTACATACTGATCCTATAGAATTGCATTTATCATCACGAGAGAATTCACAAACTAAATTTGCTACTGCTGGTGATTTGAAAACATTAAGAAATCGTAATCACAGTAGCAATAGACCACGCATTGAAAAATCTACCTTTGAAACACGGCCCTCTGATCGTTATACTGTAATGAATAGTAGCAGTAATGGTGATGTAATACATTGCAATATCCCTCATAATGTATCTTCAATGAATGATGTTTATGATGAGTCGAATTCACAGGTGTTCATTGATGATTTAACAGAGATAACTGCTAATCATACTATGCATAATTCACAGTCGTTTTCTCATGATTTGTTAAATAAAACTGAATCAATGCAATTTAATGGAACAGTTGAAAATAAAACATCAATATCAGAAAGTAGACGTATGTCATCTGTGAGACGTGCCACAAGTGAAATCGCGCTGGATATTGTTAAGGTAATGTGATTACTGTTTTGTTTAGTTTTCACCTCTTATGCCATTATTCTGCTTAACTTGTCGAAACTACGATTTTATGGGCAATAATAATAATATTTCACAGGCATATATTTTTGAAGTGATGACCTAATTTTTTTTACCTAACTGCACTCTTCAATGCTGAGTTAATTCACATAACAATAAATTCTATAGGAAAGTCTGTTTTCTTATTGTTAAACCGTTAAAAGTATTCGGATAGTTCGTGTTTCTGTATAGTAATGTGACAGGTGAAGTATATCTGCTTATAACGAAATCCAAAAGCGATATTTCTGTTATTTATTCTGTACACTGTAGCACTTTATTTAGAACGACAGTGATAGCTCAACATATAAACCATCAAGCTGTAAGAACACAACACTACTTAAAGCATCTATTTGAGCTACAAATCTTTTTTATTTCACTATCACACAATGGTTCATGATGGGTTCTATGGATCCACTTATCTCTTCGTAAAGAATAAGTTAAATCATGGTTTGATGTCGATGACTCCTCTTTTTAATTAGCTCTCTGCAGGATTCTCTACATTTGATGTTTGCAGTAGTTTTCACATCTTATTCCTCTTCAAGATGATAGTCGTCATTCATCAACTGAATCTATTTCAAGGCTCTCGTATCATCAGCTTGAATAGAGTTTACTCAAATAATTAAGCAAGTTGACGATAAGCGGAAGTTCATCACGGTGGTTCATTTGTAGCTACAATTTACCTTACAAATCTTTAAACATTATTATAATAGAAATAATAGTTAACTTGTAAGATCCTAATGAGTAAAAAATAATTAATTTCTAATGTTTCACAACATAGTAGTGTAAGTTGCTTTTTTTATTAAGTGAATAAATAACGATTTGTTTATCATCATTTATCTTTAATTCTTGACCTACACCACTTTAATCAGCACCTTTCACGCACCGTTTCACCTCCATCTATGTTTTTGTGTCTGTTTTGTGTGTCAGCATATTGAAGTAAGGTATTAACAAATAGGGTAGATGAGAGCTTGATTTTGCTGTTGAAGTTTCTTCCATTTACTTTCATTATACACGAGTGTGTTCAGTTTCTAAGATATTGATTTGTTATTCAATCTTATATTATTTAGCTCATCATTTAACTAAAAACTGTTCATACACGTTAACTTCAAAAAGACTAACATTTATGGTTCTTCAATAATTTTATAGACAGTAATTAGTTCTTTTGTAACCCTGAAAAAATGTTTTTTATTTCACTCGTAGATTACTTAAGTTTCTTTGGATCAATGTGGTTCAGTTATTTTTTCTGTTCTAGCTGCTGAAAAATAGTTTAACTGAACTATTATATATATATATATATATATATATATATATATATATATATATATATAGTGCGACAAATATGTCTATATTTTTCAAGCTTTCCTTGATATATGTACTTTTTAATCCCAGGCTCATCAGCCTACTCTACAAGCTACAAAGTTTTCATGTGACTCGAAATTCAACGGTTTTACTAGGGATGATTTTGATTGTCAGTTACATCCTGATTTATCTAACCATCATAATTCCTTGTCTGACTCCTTTAATTCACGCTCAACCTTATCTACTGCAGCTCTTGTAGGCAGATTTTCTCAGCCTAAGTATTTCACCCACTGACAATAAGCAACCAACATCATCCGAAAAACCATCAGTCATTCGTTTCTTGAGTTCCAGGATATCTGCAGTTAGCTGTATAGAAGATTTCCTTTCATTGAGTCTAAATGGTCTCAATACGAGCAGTTATGCTTCAGGCGATGAAATCCTTCACAAATCTTTAAAGGTAAAAATGATAATCCGTTGGTACTTACGTACGCTTGCTCAAGTATCTTGCAAGTAATTATTTCTTACCAGCTTACAAAACCAAAATACAATTGCCAGATTTTAAAATGCCTAGCACATCATTGATAGTTATGGTTTATCAATGTAACAGGTTTGAAAAAGAATTATACATTTAGATTAATTCTTAAGTTAAAACAGTGAAATTCGACTTCTGAATTCTCCACACGTAAGTATTATTCTTGTTAGTACTTGTCACTTAGTCATATCTAAGACCAACAAGCTAAAAAGCTTTCATTCGTATTGTAATTTGCTTGTTTTAAGTATTACATACTATATTTAGTAATAATTACAATAAAGCAGTAAAAATAGCATATTTATACGTATAAATATGCATTCTGTTTCTTGGATCAATCAGTCAGTCAGTTATTTGTAACGTATAACTTCATACGTACGTATATAAGTTCCGTTTGTCATGTCACATTAGCACAAAGATGCAACTGTCACTTCCAATCCCATAGTGGTGGAGATAGTAAAAGTGTTAGCGGTAATGGAAAAGATTAGGGTAAGAAGAAACTATTTAAGAAGTGTAATTTTGTGAAATAAATTTAGAAAGGGAAAGATAGGGGTGATGAGGAATTCAAAAGGTTAGGATTTGACAGAACAAAAAAGAATGAATGCAGCTGTGCCATTGCAAACAGTTTTGAGCCATGTCATTCAAGATCTTTAACCATCGATTACTTTCATCTCCCGGACACACCATCCAGCTAGTCTACATTTACTAACATGGTCCATTCCAGTTGTTAGTGACTTTATGAATTTGTGTTTTGACCACCCCTGGCTTTCTTCCAACCTACTCTTACACCACAAAACATGGCAAGCATTCTATTTATCAATGTGTTCATTGTCTCAGTTACACATCACTGCTGATTTGTTTATGCTTCAAACTTGAAATGTTGGGGAAGTCTAAACGTTAGATCTTTTTTCAGTGGAAAGCAAACAACTTTAAAAAAGGATGACTATTCTTATAAGTACAACAATAGTAGCTCATTACTATGGGAAAATGTGCTCTCCTAGACAACCATCCTATCTTCAGTTATCAGAATTAACAGTAATCATTTTGTCTCATGATTAATAATTACTCGGTCGCACTGTATTATCAAATTTTATTTACTAATCGGTTTTCTGTTCATTTATTTTAACAATTGTAAACCTTGTTCATTCAGCGACTTTTTAGTTCATAACCGAAAAAAAAACATTAATCTATACTGTGTAGTCTGTAGCTTAATTAAAGTACTCCTTCGTTCATTAAACGTTTTCTCGCAATTTATGCACTTCTATTCTTGTTCTAATGTAAAACTTAATGATTTAATGTTTCATTTCAAGTCAGCTGATGTACTTTTAAATCAATGTGCTTACTAATATTTGTGTAATATGTGTATTATGCATGAGAAAATTTGTAATGTAATGCTTAAAAATGTCCATTGTTGTTGTTATTTAATAAAAACAAATTGCACTTCCGTCATTTTTTTTTCTCTTTATGATCACAGTACACACTGTTATTCTTAAAGAATATTTTATATTTGTTCATTATTGTTGCATCTATTTATATGTGTTTTTGGTTTTTCTTTCTTTGGTAGTTTGATCTCGATTCACCTGAGAGTCCAATGAGAAATTATTTCAGTGAAAGTGTTAATGTACATAATTCAAGTAAGCAAAGATGGATGATTGTTTTCGGTATTATTTGTATAATGATTAATATTGCTTAAGCTATATTTGTTGAGTACTTCTTCAGGATCAAAGTCGATTAGACTGGTGATGTGATAGTTGTTTATACATTGTATTGTTTGTATAAAAATGGAATTTTCGAAATTTCCGGACTGTTTATTTAGTTGACTAAAAACAAGTCGAAAAAAGTTGTCATTTATAACAAGCACCATCAACTTAATTTATTTGGTCCTTCAAAAGATAGCTTTAACTCAGTCCTACAATTAGATTCACTAAGTTGTGAATTTTCCAGTCTGTTATTCACGGTCTAGCTAGTGTCGATCGTTCATTTTAACTCAAATTCTTGAGTTGAGTTTTTACTTCATCAGGAATCTGAAGAGAAAACCGGGTTACGAAAGCAATCATGAAGTACAATTGCGGCCTCCAGAGGCAACTGTTTATTTTCGGTGCTGAAGAGCCCTGAAATTATTCCTCAGTGAAGTCGATAAAGGCTAAGAAACACCGGGAAACCTTTCATCCAATCAGCGGAAACTTCTCAGAACCTTCGTCGAAAACGGAGAATCACGTGTCACGATTCTGATTGAATATTTAACCGTACTGGTACCATGTGGTTCTCGAACCTTTCGGATTAACTATAAGTACCTTCGTTTTCCGTCCATTAACGAACCTTAAAGTAAATCATCCTTCTAGTACTTTGCAATTTTTGTGTTCGGGTCGCAGACTTATCACTCGGTCACAGACTTTCTTTGGTTACTTCCAGTTGTGTTAACTCCATATTTTTAAGGGCTTGCTGCTGGCGACAGCAAATTATATCGTTTTTATAACCGACTTTTCCCAAACTCTCTCTCCGTTTTGGGAGCGTCGTGAGCAAATATACTGGTTATCTGAAGAAAATATCATACGCCCATTACACCCTTTTACAGTTAGCACTACGATTTTTCTTCCGGACCACGTGTTTGCTGCTCGACCTGGTGATCACTGTATGCGAGACGAACACCTTGTCCAGGTAGCCTCTATAGTTAGGTAAATCTAAATTAAGTTCGGTTTTGTAGTTTTATAGTCTTGTAAATTTAAACTTGCGCCGATGCAGTTCCTTTAGTAAACTATAAATATTTACCGGAAACTTCTTTATTTTGTTGGCGCGAAATATCTTGGATAGTAACACATCCAACCATTTCTACTGATGAAGATTCACATTGCATTTTCAATTTAGCGATACATTCCGGTTCTGTATATTACCAATTATGATTAGTTTCCTTTTCAACAATATTCAACTACATCTTAAATTTCAAATTCTGATGCATGTTTTAATACTTTTTAGATATTCCTAGCTCATGTGATATACTTAATGATGAACATTCCACTTTAAGACCGAATAACAGAGATACATTGACTGCCACTTCTTCACAAGAGGTTCCTAGTAAGTTGTAATTTTTGATTGTGTCTGCTTATACCCTCTTCAATTATGCTACTTTATTTGTATTTAGGTATTTAGTTAAAAATTTTACCAACGATTTTTTGATCGTTCCTTTAAATCCATAATATATTTTGTACTATTGTTTTATTTAGTTACTAATGAAACTTCAAAATTACCTTCAATAATGTCAAATAATCAACTTAATGCTGTAGATCTACCTCGTTGTATACTTGCTGGTGGTTCAGCTCTTGGATGGACTCATGAATCAATTGTTATTTGTTGGCGTCGATTTTTAGGTATTCTAGGCAATTTTCATAAAATTACCAACCCAACAACAATAATTGATATATTCAATTATTTAAATGAAATGACTTCATGTCTTTTAAAAATTAGAGAATATCAAAGTCTACCCCGTGTAACTGAGACTTGTGTACAACCAATTCCACAATTTGTACCACCTGTGAATTTTATTGCTCCAATTTTATTCAATGTAAGTGAGTTCGGAAATATGTTTTAATGTCAACTATTATATTGCTTGTGTATTTATATGAAATATTTGTATCACAGAATTCGCGTAATGTTTCACAAGTGATTTAGTTGTTAAACATAAAAGACTGATCAAGTCAAAGCTTATGTTAAGACATAGATACGTTACTTAACCTAGCTGTTAGTTATATTTTACAGTATAGATTTTTCTCTCTCAATCAGTTATCAGTTAGTCTTGAGTTGACGGAGTTAGTTTGTCATAATGGAGTTAGTCTGTCATCGACATCATAGGACCTGACTTATTTGTATAGTAGTTCAAGTTCACACATCATATCAGCATAACAATATAGAGTTATGAAGACAAGTACTAAGCTAGTAAATGAGACAAACAGTATGAGTGTTATAACGACGCTGTGTAGCTATTGGAAATCCTACCGATGTCCAAATTCAGATATTCAGATAATGCATATTTATACAATTAGGTCGAATAAGAAACTGTTAGGATATTCATCCAATATCCTAAAAGAATTATTGGTCAATTCCTATTGGTTAATTCCTACTGGTCAATTCATGGTCGTCCTAGATATCAATGTCACGTGCTCCAATGTTGTTTCTTATTGGTTATCCTGACTATCAACGTCACTTCAAATGTTGCTTCCTATTGGTCGTGTTAACTGTCAATGTCACAGACTTCGATGCTGTTTCCTATTCGACTAAAATGTATAAAGACGCATTATCTGTAACGTTTTGTGACCAGGACCAGGACCCGGTCCCGGATCCCTAGTCCGGGATTCTGATTCTCTTCTGTACTCGGACCTCGTACTTTCTGGATATTTGTAGAATACATGTTCTACTTCATATCAAGTCTTCTTATTTTTACTCAATATGGGGGTTGGGACGCTGAGATTTGAGTAGCATGTAGTGTCACCGGACCCTCGATCCTCGCTCTCGTTTTCCGACTAGGTAAACTCGTAATAGTTCAACTATATCAAGTTGACGTGTTTACGTGCAGGAGTAACAGAAACAACATGGAAGTCTGTGACGTTGATAGTTAGGAAGTCCAATGCCAAACATTATTTGAAGTGACATTGACAGTTAGTACGATCAATAGGAGACAACATTGACAGTTAGGACGACCATAACATTCGCCAATAGGAATCGACCAATAGAATTAGACTTCCAGAAATAGTTCTCGTAGGATATTTGATGAATATTCTAACAACGAGTATAGAACAAAAGTGTACGACCAGTTTGTGCAATGTATTTGGATGTATTTGAATGTATTTGGATCGATGCTGAGCCGAATAAAATGTAACTTTAAGGGTAATGCAACAGTTTTGAATGTTATATGCAAGTTGTTGAAGTGCATGAAAAAATTTATACCTTAGGCTACTTTTCTTTATTGCTCATTAACAAAAAGTTTTAACATGAGAGTTATATTTTATTACAGTTGTCTACCAATCATATCCATTCGAAAAAGTTCATATTTAACTTAATTAGCGATTATAAAAACTGAAATTATCATATATTATTAAGCTCTTTTTTTCCTATTATTTGTTATGTTTAATTTTTGTTGTCCGATCTTTGTTCACTCTCTTCCTCTAGTCAATGAATCTTTCTGAAGATTTTATAGAAGCTAAGCAAATTGCTATACGTACATTAAGTGATATAGTTATACGTTCTCATGATGGATGTCCTGATCCAGAGTTGATTGCTCATTTCTATCGTCTTATTCATGAAATAAGTGTTACAAAACAAGAAGTAATTTACAATATTATTATGATTATTATTATTCTTTAAAATATTTCATTTCTCTTAAGCTGTATATGAATTCCTAAGTAGATGAACTGGTTTTTTTTCATTCTGGTCAAAATAACCCATAAATGATGAATTATGAAAGTAGTAGTTATGTTAGATCGTTAGGCTCAGTAGAATTTTAGTCAGTGAGTCACAGATTCAAACCCTCCTTCGTCTACCTGGATCTCAAACTTAGCGTATGTTTCTAAGCTATTTTCACAGATTTGTACCGGCATTCTCTATACGCAGTTAAAATCGAAATCCACTTGGTTTCTACAAATCTCAGTTCAAAGTATAATAAATGATTAATTTCTACATTATACTATCTGTTGGATGAATTATATCAACACTTCGTGTTCTCAAGTTCAATTAAACATCTTAATATCTGTAGGCGATTTAAATAAAAAGCCTATCTTATTTCAACAGTGGTTATAAAATGGATATATTTTGTATCGGTGGTTGGACGAAAGCTAGGGGCGGCCAAACCAAAGCATGGCAGAAATGCATGAAGTCACTAACAAGTGGACTGATCCTTGTCGGTAGGTGTCGACTACCTGGTTGGGGTCCGCGATATGTTAGTAATCGATGGTTAGAGACCCTGAATGACATGGCTCAAAACCGTTTGCATTCATTCTTTGTGTTCGCTCAAACCATAAACTTTTTAATTCTTCATCAGTTTATCCTTATCTTTTTAAATTTCACTGAATCATACTTCTTGACTAATATCTTCTAATCGTAACCTCTGCGACTACTGCTAATACCTCTACTACTTCTGCAACTATTGAATTGACAACTACGTGGTACGGCAACATGAACTGATGTACGTACGTACGAAGTTCTACGTTGCTATTGATTGACTGACTGATTTTATCGGTATCATATAAACAAATATATATATGGATGATAATTGTACATGATTAGTGAACATGTAGGACCATCACTCTCCTAGATTACTTATAAACTATTTTTATTTATCAATTTAGAGTTGTTTTTTTTCAATTCTATAAATATTTTCACTTTTATATTTCTAGAAATATGTTTTCGAAGTGATCCGATCATGTAATATGCATCTGTTTGTATCTACACTACCATCCACACACTTACTCATATTGGATTTCTTAAGCAATGTCAATGTTGTCTTATCAAATCCTAACCCTGGTACAGAAGTAAGTATCTAATTTTGTGAATGCATAAATTTTCATTCATGCCATCTAATTATGAACAATAATTTTGCCTCTATGCAGCGGTGTCTTTTTTGTTACCATTAACTACTGACTTGGATATCGTATAGCAATAAGCCGTTTAAACTTTTACAATACGCCAAATTATATCTGGAAACCGTAAAAGGAATGACTTTAGACGAATCGATGTGAAAATACATTCACGGTTTATGGATATTTTAGGAGTGTTCAGATTAACTTGTTTTCAAATCTCAAATTATTGCTACAGGACACTGTCATACAGAGACCTAAATTTTATCCATAACAAGTTAACTCGTTGTGCGTGTTTACTATATCATCAATTTATGTAATTTCACTGTCGTTTGTAATTAACTATGCTATTTAAGTGACTAATCCATTATAAGAGAGAAAGAGTCGAGACCAAGGCTCATGGTAATTTATGTTACCGAATGCCAGATTAATGTGTGTACATGATACATACACATATGTATGATTTTGGAACAGTCTAGACTGTGCAATACATGTGTGTAGGGTGTGACCTGAACCAGACTAATAACTCACTGAATAATGACAAGTTTCTTACACTTTAAACCAATACATCAGACGCTTGTTTATCATCTGCCTGCCACCCGATACAGGACGATATTTATGAATTGATTTTTGTGGAAATGCAGATTTGACCTTTCCCATATATATATATATATATATATATATATATATATATATATATATGTCACATATTGATGACAATTCTTTGTCTGTTTCAAGTTTACGATTCATACTTGGAACAATTTTGTCTCTGTTTTTTTCTTTCTCAACAATAGATTCCACGTTCTGAAGCAATTTCTATTGTCTTATCCCTACTTTGTTATCCTTATCATTTTAATCGACTTGAATCAATTGATCCGACGTCAATGAAAGCTAAAACTATTTTATGCATAGATTTAATGGTATGTTTGTACTTGAATTAAATTTAATTGCTGATTATTAATAATACACTCATGTTTTATATATTACATTTAGACAAGAGAACAAAATAAGTACTTTCTATTTAATATTATTATTATCATTATTATTATTATTATTATTATTATTATTATTATTATTATTATTATTATTATTATTATTATTATTATTAGTACTTATGATGCATGTTTTTTGCCTGTACACACAGTGTTGATTTAATTATTCTCTATAAGGGAATAACAATAGTTATTCACTGCACTACATTGACATCAAAATAATGATGATGATGATCTTGTGATTTTATACCCAGAAAAAGCAAGCAAATAAACAAACAAACAATGGAGTGGAAAAAAACCATTCTGTGCAAATGGTTGTAGTAGTAGTAGTAGTAATTATAATAGTACGACTACCATTAATAAATACTAGTGTGAAATGATACAGTAAATTGTAGTTGCTGTAAATGTTAGCGATGACGATGAGGTTATTGCATGTGATTGAATTTTCCTTTCTTTTATAGTTGTAATGCTTTCTATACATTTTTTGCTGTACTAATTGGCACTTGTTCTTAATTATTATCCATTTACTTGTTTGTCTGTGTGTGTATGTGTATGTGTAAACCAATTTTCATAAGCACTTACTTTATGAATAAGTAATCTGGAGTAGCTAACAAATCTCATTTCATTAAATTTCTTTCTTCTTGTAATAAGTCTGGTCGGTAGGATGGTTAATTATGAAAAATAATACATCATATACACAAGATTCTATATTTCCTATGATTGATTAACTACATTTGATATTCACTACTTATCGCCGAGGCTCGATTGGCTTTCATCAACTTCCATCATTTATGGCGTAGGTCAGATATCCGTCTGCTAACCAAAGGACGAGTGTACTGTGCAGCATTTCGCTCCGTCCTACTTTATGGCTGTGAAACATGGCCGTTAAGAGTGGAAGATATTCGTAGGTTACTGGTTTTCGATCATAGGTGTCTTCGAAGCATTGCTCGTGTATCCTGGGAAAACTAGGTAAGCAATGCTGTTGTTAGGAAACGGGTGCTAGTGTTGGGGATGTTAGATCCCCGAAATTCGCTTGATAATACCGTATTTTGGTTTTCACGTTTCGCCAGCATGGGCTGATCAGATGACCTTGAGATTTCAATTCCCACCAGCAAAATCAATGGCTGTGATTGGCTGCAGTGTATTTTAGTATGCTATTTTCTTAACTGTTTCAGGGACGTTCTTATGTTGTATAAATAAACGAGAGTTGTATGCTTGATTGTACTGTGATTGCTGGGTGTTTGTAGAATATACTTCCTACGCTTACAAAGCCTTCTATTTCGATTTTGGGTATTCAAGGTAGCCTCCCTGGAAGCTGGTAAAAGTCTCGTTCGCGTTTATCGACTAAGGTAAACTCGTAATAGCCTCAAGCATACTAAGTGACGAACTTATCAGTGGCGACGGTGCTTTTGGAAATATGGATCCTGCCAAACTTGAATTACTACTTGAGCAGCAGCTGAAACTGATGCAGATGTTGACAGACATGAAGATTTCCCCTTCCACGCAGCCCAGCTCATCTAATGCAACCACAGCTCCATCGGTCGACGGCATCGCAAATAGCATATCTGAATTTCATTATGATCCTGATGCAAATGTTACTTTTGACATGTGGTTCCGGCGTTATGAAGATTTATTTAAATTTGATTTCGCTAACCAAGATGATGCTTGGAAGGTTCGGCTGCTACTTCGAAAGTTGGGCGCAAATGAGCTGGATAAGTACTGTAATTTGATCCTGCCTTTGAACCCACGAGATTGTTCGTTTCCTGAGACTGTTCAGACTTTAAGCCAACACTTTGGAGACAACTCGTCACTATTTAATACTCGTTATCGATGTTTGAAGCTTATTATGAACGAAGATGATGATTTTCTTACTCACGTGGGCATCGTCAACCGTGAATGCGAACGCTTTCGGTTGAAGTCTTTGTCGGAAGACCAGTTCAAAGCCCTTATACTCATCTGCAGCCTCCAGTCGAGTAAGTTCAGTGACATTAGAACAAGGCTACTAAGTCGGTTGAAGCAAGATCCAAAGCTTACGCTTAATGATATGGCTCATGAGTACCAACGTCTCACTAACCTACAACGAGACTCGACTATAGTTCAGAGTGGTAGTTCAAGCCGATCTGAAATTCATTTGGTACAGCAGCCACCTAATCATTATAAGTCTGCCCGTGCTACACCCAGTTCACCCCGCTCCAATTCGCCCCAAAAACCCAAAATGAATCCACCTTCTGCTTGCTGGCACTGCGGTTCATGGCACTATGTACGGAACTGCCCATTTAGGCAGCATAGATGCAGGAAGTGTAAAGCCATCGGTCATAAAGATAACTTTTGCCTACAGAAAAAGCCAAACCGATCCAGAAGTGCTAAGAAGCCTGTTCCTAGATCCAGTACCAATGCATTGAGCCTAATATCTTCCTGCCAAAGCTCATCACCAGGTGAGAGGAAATTTATTACCCTTAATATTAACGGTTATTTGTGTAGAATGCAAATAGATACTGCATCTGATGTCACTATCCTCTCACGCAAAAATTGGACCAAATTGGGCAGCCCAAGTCTGCAGCACACAACACAAAAGCCTCGTACAGCATGTGGTAATTATCTTCGTCTGTTAGGACAATTGGAATGTAAAGTTGCTTTCCGAGATTCGTCGTTTACTGGGATTGGTTCGACCAGCTAAAATTGGCTGATGTCCCGCTAAATACCATATGCAACCTGGTATCACAACGACATGACCCAGAAGCGTATACGAAGAAGCTGATGACAGAGTTTTCAACCATTTTTGAACCTGGATTAGGTCGGTGCACTGCTATGAAAGCGACACTTCGGTTGAAACATGGGGCTAAGCCTGCTTTTCGTCCAAAGAGACCTGTACCGTATGCTACATTAGCAACAGTAGATGAAGAGCTGGATCGCCTTCAACGACAAGGAGTTATTACTCCCGTTTCTTACTCCAGTTGGACAGCACCTATAGTCGTTATCAAGAAGGCCAACGGCACGATACGTATATGTGCTGACTTCTCTACAGGTCTCAACGCAGCTCTAGAACAGCATCATTATCCTCTGCCAGTCCCAGCAGATCTGTTCACTATGCTGAATGGAGGAAAGTTCTTTGCAAAGCTTGACCTAGCTGATGCTTATTTGCAAGTGGAAGTCGATGAAGCATCTAAAGAGCTGCTTACTATCAACACTCATCGTGGTTTGTTCCAGTATAACCGCCTACCTTTTGGAATTAAGACTGCGCCATCTATCTTCCAACAACTAATGGATACTATCCTGTCAGATATCCCAGAGGTTGCAGCTTATCTCGATGATATCTTGATTGTTGCGAAGACGTTAGAACAGCTACGGGAACGCACGACATTGGTACTACAACGCATCAGTGACAATGGTTTCCGGTTACGCCCAGAAAAATGCCAGTTTCTATTGCAGTCGGTAAAGTATTTGGGATTCATCTTTGATGCCGACGGTCGCAGACCGGATCCTGAAAACATCCGAGCTGTCAAACTGATGCCCACTCCCACTAATGTTTCCGAATTACGATCTTTTCTCGGTTTAATCAGTTATTATTCAGCTTTTGTTCCCTCGATGCATGATATTCGCGCTCCATTGAATTGTCTACTGCAGAAGCATAGCACATGGAACTGGACTAAAGAGTGTGACGCGGCTTTTGGTAAACTCAAGTCTATAATTACGGCATTATCAAGCGAATTTTGGGGATCTAACATCCCCAACAGCTAGGTAAGGCTGGCAGGTCAATAGATGAAGTATTAAAATTTCATCAGTTGAGGTGCTTGTGACATGTGTTACGTATGCCTAACCACCTACTGTCTCATTGAGCTATGCTTTGCGATGTCGGAATAGGTTGGAAAAAAGGTAGAGGCAGCCAAACCTAAACATGGCAGAAATCGATGAATTCACCGACAAGCGAACTAAATCATGTTGGTAGGTGTCGCGAGATGATAGCAGTCGATGATTACAGACTCTGAATGACATGGCTCAAAACCTTGTGCAATGGCGCAAGTGCATTCATTCTTTATGTTCTCTCAAATCCTAGCCTTCAAAGTTCCTCATCACCTTTTTCACTTTCTTTTTAAGTTTATTTCACGGGATCGTACTTCTTGAACCAATATCGTCCATCTCTAATCTTTCGGATTATTGCTAATACTTTTACTACCTCTACTTCTATGGCATTTGAATTGACAATAGCCTCCCTGTGCTAATATGGTATGGCAGCTTGAACTTATGTACGTACGTCGGTACGAAGTTCTCTATTGTAACTGACTGACTGACCGACTTATTTGCATACAATATTGTTATTATTTTCAGTCAAATTTTTCACTTATCATCATTTTTCTGTTGAAGGCTGGATATATATCATAAAGTTAAACATGATTATTATTTTTTATTAGTTACCACAGTACATTCTTCCTTAACTGAACTAACATACTTGCAGTACAGAAATAAATGATTTTAACTTCTTATTTAATATCTCTTTTTTTCTGATAGATTTTTCATGTAAATTTGAGCTCTAAGTTTTAATCATAGATTATGTTATTGAACTGGAACACTGCATACATTATATTCAACATGACTTGTTTTCTGAAACTTTATATGATTCATGTTTCATAAAGTAGATGTGTCTTGCACATTTCTGATGTAGAATCTTCAGTTTTAATTAATCGTTGAACTCAACTGATTGTTTAGAGACCATGTAATATGTATGCATTGTGCCGATTTATTTACTCTTCATAAGGACAGTTGTTTCTTTTCGGATTTCATGGGCAAGTAGTATTTTTTAAATTTACGAATACATAAAGTACACTTTACTTAAATGTGTTGATTTCTGTGAAGAAAAAAACTAATGTAAAACACCTGCGGTTTGTTCAGCTTTATCATTTCTTCTCTTGTCTTTTGAGCGTAGAATAACTTAATTCTGTTTAAATTTAGAATGTGTAATCCGTATATACATGATACATTTATTCAGTTTCTTATTTACATTTACAAATTATCCTGATCAGAAATAATGTTTGTAGTCATTAGTTTACTATTTTCGCTAAGATATTTCGTCCATATGATTTGTACGCGTCTGTTGAAGAGTAACTCAATTTCATCTGACTTTGTAATCAACCGCATGCACGAGTCTTTGTAACTTTGTCGATCTTGTGATGAGCAACTCGTGATTTCCACAAATATTAGACCTAATTATTAACCTTTTATTTACTTTTTTGAAACTTCAGTCACATTTGATTCACATTTTAACACAAGCTGTCTTGTCAGATCCATCTGGAGAGGTTCGATGCCTGGCCATTACTGGTTTAACAATTTACTGTGTTATTGAACTAATGAATTCATCTTCAAAGAAATCAGGAACTGCATCACCTATCAGTCCTACACCAATGACCGACTTGCTTTTCGATTCAATTATTATTTTATTGGGAATGATGCGGTTTAAAAATAGAGCCGTATCTATCGTTGCGGTTGAAATGATAAAAATGCTTTCTGAATATTGTCATCTCTTGTTATCTCGCGATGTAAAATTGCCTTCCCTAGTGTTATCGGTAAGTTCTGACAGTCAATGAAAAATGTTCAAACAATGTATTTCATCGCTTGCTGCAATTATCTTTCCTTAAAAATTAACTACTTTTCACAAGTATTAGTATTATGTCTGGTGAGATTTTCAATTAATGTACATATAATACCACTTTAAAAGCTGCAACATAATCACTTGTTTTAGCTCTTCTACAACATGATGATTTCAACAAGTAAATATCATTAATTGTTCAAGTAGAGATGGATAGTGTCGTCCAGGTCGCACATTCCTTCCGAAAAATGACTGGTCAGCTTAAAGTGCCTGCATCCCAGAGTTAATGTCCATTACGAGACTCGAGTCCAGTACCATTCTCTTGAAACGCCATTCAGTTGATGAGTACTAAATAGGACGAAATGCGCGTCCTGGGTTCCACTATTAGCCACTATCCATCTCTGCATATTATGGTTATGACCTAGTTGGAATATTGGGGCAATCAACACAGGATGCACATACTTCAAATGAGATTGGTCAATCGCAGTCTTAACTGTCAATGGGGAAAACCAAACTACCAATGCAGTCATTTTCTGCTTTCGGTTCTTCTGTCTTCCAAGTTTTGAGGCAAGATATGAAACGACTGTGTCTCAACGTGAGCACATATCTCTATAATATTAACTGATCATTCTCAGAATCGTTCTTATTCAGCGTATCACACTAAGTATATACGTAAACTGAAAAAAACACTCGTGGAAACCAAGATTCAGTGATAGTTATCTACACTTGTAATCTTGTAATCCTTAGACATGTTTTCCAACAAGTTTATTCATCATGAATCCTAAAAGTTGTATTTCAAGCCAACTTTGTTATCGTCACTTCAAGTGACTAACATTGGAACACATATTCGTTGTCTTCTCGTAGCTTCCTTCTATATATGACACGTTTCTGTAATCTTAAAGCTACAAATCCTGTACAGTTCAAACATCGAGAATTATTTCAGCTTTCACAAACGATCAAGTTATTTCATTCTGTATTACCAAGGAATAATACCTCTTGTAGCGTTTTTCATGTGTTATACTTAAATATATTGTTTTTAAGCTTCAATAGCTTTGTATGTGCTTACTAATATTACTAGTATTATAAATAAATATCTGTCTCTTTTTTGTATTTCATGTAGACACTTGCATGGACTCTATATTCTACGTGGGATATAACTAATCTTAACAGCGTGTCATCAACTGATAAACAAGTATGTGGAAGTATATATATATATATATATATATATATATATATATATATATAGTTGTTTTATTCTAGTACTAGGCTTCTTAGCTCACCTTTGAACCCACTGAGAGTCAAACCCAGAACTTTCATTTCCTTTTATGATGACGTAATCTTTAGACCACTGAGCTATTAATGCATAATATTCCGTAATCCTATTGGTAGGTATCTATTTTAGATCGAACATCGTTCAACTCTACGAATCACAGTTGCGCATGGCTGCTTCCTGGTCTTCAATAATTACCGAAGCTCGATTCATAATATAAGTCTATAGGATAATCAGTTATAGTTAATATTGATCTATCACTCTGAATATGTAATAAAAATCTTTTCATGAATTATTTACTACTAGTTATTCGTAAAAACAGGTGAGAAGGAACAACACAGATTCAAATACCAACTATAATAATGTAAACTGTTACAACAGATAGTTATAATGTCTCCAAAAATATCTGAGTTTGGGTTTAACAATGTTCATTATAAGCCATAAGTACCTAATGGCTAAGTGAAATGAATTTAGACGATAGATACGTTATTTCCGGGTATTTTTACTGTCTGGTGAATAGTGTTCCTGCTTATCATTAATCATTAATTAATTAATCAGTCAAGGTTAAACCACCATCAGAAACCTAGAAACACTAGACGGCCGTTTCATCTTAGTACGGAGCTTGTCAGAAGTGCTCATCCACAGTCGCTGCACGCGGGAATCTTACCCAGAACCTTTGATCTTGTATAGAAACACTTAACCTCTAGACTAGTAAGCCAGCATCCAACGACACTAATGTCTAACTTCAATCTATCCACTATATTGTGCGACCTCATCCATTGTCTTCGGTAGGTAACTACTTCACGCCTGATACGATTGAACTCCACTGGTCACGACTTCTCACTGGAACTCCTAGAATTTCATCACGAAGCTAGTGACTAGGGAGTACATCCTAATTGTCATTATAGGGTTGTGGAGATCGTTGGGCTTCATTGAAATCATCAGTAGATCAATGCTAGATCATCTGGACCGCCATTTCGTCCTAGTATGTGGCTCATCCACTCATTAGCTTTTACAAAATGATGATGTTTCTCAATTATATAGTCGATTTAAGAATATGATTCCATGTTGTCGAACTACGATAACATATGTATCTGTTTGCCTAAAAATATCCCTGTAAACTTAGATGCATCATTAATTTAACAAAGATTGTTTCCTATTTGCTTTAAATTCGTCTTATTACTATTCTTTGAATGGCATTGCGGCCAGACCGAAACATGACAGAAATCCATGAAGTCACTGACAAATGGACTGATTCATGTTGGTAGATGTAGGCTACCTGGTTGGGGTCCGCGAGAAGAAAGTCACCAATGGTTAAAGACCTTGAACGACATGGCTCAGAATCGTTTGCAATGGTGCAGATGCATCCACTCTTTGTGTGCTTTTTAATTCTAACCTTCTGAATTCCTCATAATCTCTATCTTTCTCATTCTAAATTTATCTCACTGAATTATACTTTCCCAATCATATCTTCTCTCCCTAATCCTCTCCATTGCTGCTAATAATTCTACTGTCGCTATCACTATCTTGGATTTGAACTGACAGTTACGTGATATGGCAACCTGAACTGATGTACTTATGTACGAAGTCCTGCGTTGTATCTATCTGTCTGTCTTGAATGGCGTTCTAAAAGTTTGGTCAATTTTTGTCCATGACATGTAAGATTGGATGTAATAATTGTGTCATTTTCTGCTTCATATATCTAATTTTTTTGGTTTTTTTTTCGAATAAACTTTTCTTTCATTGAAATTTTTTACTGATTATGTAATTCTACTTATTTCTTTTCTTGTTTGACTTTTGCATAGTTTTTTCTTAGTCTTATTCAAGCAATACTTGAATGGTCCATGTGTATACCGTATGATGAATTAATCAAGAATTTTGACAATAAAACAGAATCAACACTGGTACGATTATTTCCAGCTGCTAATTTATTATCTACAATAATTGAAGTGTTATGCTTTATTATATCGAATGAGACCAATGCACAGTCATTAGTTAATTCAACACAAAACTCCAATTATTCTCAATCTAAAATTGTATCAAGTATGAATTTCACAGATCCTTTATTAGAATATATTGATATGTGTAAACAGTCAATTGATATTAATTTATTCAATGTAAGTTTATTCATCATAATAATCCTGCTATTTCTATGATTAGTTTTTTTAGAAATTAGTCATTTACAATTGAATTTTTTTTATTAAATTTTAGATACCATATAACCATTTTTTCCTTCCATTTAAAAAAAAAATGGTCCATTTAGTGTAAAATATATGCATGTATAAGTGTGATATGTTCCAGTAACGTTTTTATGCTATCAGTACAGTTAGATCACTCCATAGTGTTCTAATTTATATATTGTAATTATCCAATGAACTTCAGAATATTGCTACTTAATGTGAATGCCTTGAGTTAGAATAAAAACTTGATATTATAACTGTTGGGGTTTAATTCAGCCTAGATTTTTAGAATATCAACTTCTTTGTGTAATATTATAAGCAGAGATGGATTGTGGCTAACAGTGGAATCAAACACGCGCAGCTCGTCCTATTTAAGCTTCTTCAGTTGTGTGTATCTGCATACCAAAATTCCTGTTCACTTTGAGAGTCGAACACAGAACAATCGTCTGCTCCATGAGTACATCCAGCTGACGAGTCCCAAATAGGACGAAACCTTATGAAAATTGCATTTTGTTAAAGTTTACTTCGATTCACTTAATCATTCATCAATAGAATGCTACAATTCTCCTTATAATCAATAGTTACCAAATATGTTACCTCTGGCCTTTCTCTTCCTTCTGGAGGTTGGCTGAATTATGAAGACCTCAACCTCTCAAAGGTAGGAAGCAAAGGCACAGTGGATAGCTCTGATAAAGCTAGATGATCTTGACTTTGCAAATGACCATACATACATCAATAAATCCAAGTAAAACCAGCTAGTGTATCGGTAACTTATGCGTCTGTAGGCCTCAACATTCTGATGGATAAATACAAAATCCTTGAATACAGAAGAACGGGTACCAAAAAAATGACAATTGACGTAGAAACTTTGAAGATCTGGACACCTTTACATATCTGAGCAGCGTCACTAATAAACAAGATGGATCTTATGGAGATATAAATATACTAATCGGCAAAGAAAATGTAGCATTTCTACAATTAAAGAACATCTGAAACTGAATACAACTATCAAGCAAAACCAGTCATAATTTTCAGCACAAAAATTAAAAGTTGTTTACACAAGGCACTCTTCACCCGTTGGTAAGACACTATCGGGAGCAACCTACTGTGGGAGAGAACACGGCATATTCCAGCTAAGGAAAAGAATTCGGCATACGTGTTGGAGGTGGATAGGATACACATTGAGAAATGTACCCAACTGTGCCACAAGACGAGGCCGTACTTGGAATCCACAAGGCTAAAGGAAAAGAGGTAGACTAAGTAAGGAACACACTGAGCCGAGAATCGGAGGCAGACATAAAAGGAATGAAAGCGATCGGGGCGAACTGGAAAAGAGATGCGAGGACAGAGTAGGTTAGATAATGCTGGTCGACGTTCTGTGCTTTATTAGGGATAACAGGCGTAAGTAAGTAAGTAATTAAGTGTATTATCTCACATCAACATAATCCTTATAATAAGCATCAACTCGAAACAATTTATGAAATGTTTCATTTCAAATCATTTAACCTTCTATCTCTTTCCGTTTTATGTTATATAATTTTCTGTATCATCGTCCTGATCATGTATGAATGTATTGCCATGCGTTCTATGATTAGTTCCACAATATAGTCATTATTTTCCCTTATTTTTCTTGTGCAAAGTTTACAGTTTATTCGTTGTTTTATTTCTGTAGTTAAGTATTAAACATGTATACTCAACTCCTCGGATTAAGTTTCTAGAAATTGTATTTTGATTGTCATGTGATTTTCATATTTGTTGACAAATCAATACACCGCAGTCTTTGTTCATATTACTAATTTTAACAGTTTATCTTTCTTTACATTGTGAAACTTTTATCTTGTCAAAAAAAAATTCTTTCTACTCCATAAAATCATTTGACTTGATAGTAATAATGATAGTAATATCAACAAATATTATTCTTCTATTTGACAGATTTAGGTTTGACAATATTTTTCTTAGTTTTGATGCTCGATATTTATAACCTGCTATTTTTAACATACTTCCTAAAATATCTGAATTTCTCAATTTTAATTTTAGTAGCCCAATTATTTTCGAACTTGATATTTATCAGTTTTTCATTATGTTTCATCTTTATGTGTCATTATTATACTGATATATGTATGTATTTATTGTTTTTCATAGGCTCCTCAATCTGAAATAGACCTATCTACAATGATAGCAAAATCTTGGAATGTAGCCAACACTGAGAATACAATAATTCGATTTCATTATAATGAAGATATGAATCGTGCAATAGAATCAGTACGACTTGCTGCACGTATGGCAGTGAGTCATTTACTCAATCATATAGACCAGTTTCCAATGGTAAGTTATTATTTTGTAATGTATTTTCTAATGAGGGTGGTGACCTCAGTAAATAACAGTTACCTCGGCCCTTATAAATATACTTTCCAAACAGGTGTAGGAATGTCATTCTGCATTAAAACTACATTACTAAGATAAGTAGCGAGGATAATTACTGTGCATTTGTGTTTTTCTTGCAAACTTTCTACTTATCCCCAGTATTTAATAGTCTTGATTAAATTAATGAAAGGAAGGCCGAATTCAACGGTAACCGGGGTTACTATTAGTTCTGTTAAAATGGATATTCGTCACTTCTCGTTTACCCACTAGGTGGAAAGATACTTCAAGTTGAAATACCTGAAAACGAAGCTTCGTTAGAAGCAGTCTTAATGACTTAGGAGTGTGACCACAAAGTCCGAAAGACAACTGTGTGAGGACTGTCACATATTTTTCTTTTGCTAATATTTTGAGGCGTGTTAGCTCTAAGCTTTTAAACCCTTTCTGTCGGCTTAGGAAATCTGTTGAAAAAGGTAAGAAAGGAAAAAGCACCATCGATAAAAATACTAATTATCTAAGAGGGATACCATGCTGTCTTGACCTCCTTGTACGTAGATTGTACGACTTTGCTCTTGGACTTTGAATTTAATGCTTTTAGACACAACGTTCTCCGCCAACCATCCACCTTGTATGATTTAACAACAAACTTTGAATCGCAAAAAATTATCACAATTCTATGTATTTTGCCCAATTTGTTTAATCATTAGAACACTAACTTAATGGAATTTATTTTAACTAATTCTTTTAGAGATCATGGAACTAGTTATTAATATTTCCTAATATTTGTGATTCAGTAAATAGTTCTAAAATATGCAATTAGAAGTTGTATACAGTGTCATAAATTCATTCTTTCGTTCACTTTGTGACAGTGTTGAATTTTCTAAGTATTCTGTTTTTAGTTTAAATACCTTTAATGATCCTTAATTAATGACATATTTTCTATTCTGATTCGTAATGGTTTGAACATATGTTTTTGTTAGCATATATGAAATCTTGTACAGATTAGCTTAATATGGAGGTTGTAACTGAAGTTGATAAAATGTAGATGGAATGTGGCTCGCAGTCAAATCCAGAAAGCGCGTTTGGTCCTACTTTGGACTTGTCAGCTTGATGTACCTAAACAAACGCAGTGCTGTTTGAAGTAAACGGTACTGGGTCCGAACCTTGAAGTGAGCATGCACTCCAGAATTCATGTATATCCATCTGACGAGTCCCATACAAGGCAAAATACACATCCTGGAATCTACTACTAGCCACATTCGATCAATGATGTATTTTTTGTTCACTCTTTAATCATTCTATATTGTCATCTACCTTTCATATATCAATCTCTATACATACGTATGTCTATTTTTTTTAGTCAAAACAAGGTGTACAATTGAATACATCCATACAAGAAAATCATGATCAGTTACCTCAAAAACAAGTCACAACTAACAATCATAGTAATATGGATGAGTTATCAGAATTAACGGCAGATATTTTTGAACAAAATAATTTACAAATATTTGTGTTGGATCGTTCAATTATTTTAACATTTATATCATTACCTGTTGTTAAATTTCCTTTACAATCGAAAAATATCAATGACACTACGGTACCTGCTACAGTTAGTAATGATGAGGACAATGTTAATTTATCAAATGAATTACAAATAATCGGATTCAATAATTCCTATCTACCGCTTTCATATTTAGATTCTAAAGATGTTGAAATGGGTTCGTCAAAGTCTCGCTTAGTAACAGGTATATGCATTTTTTGTATCCGATCATTTGTTATTGAATGCGTGGGTTTTTTACACTTCTTGACTTACGTATTCCAAGTACGTTATTTGTTCGTCATTGAGTAGTAGCTTATGTATGATTATTATATTATTTTGATTCACAGTGCTAAGTATATCTCTATTGATCAATGGTCAATAGTCTATGTCACATGATGTCGTCAACTGAATATCCCATAGATAGCGTCACTAACTGTAACACTGTATTATAAAACATCGAATCCCATATGTACCAGTGCCTCCATGATTACAAATATCTCGTTTGCTAGCCTCTCCCGTCAAATCTAAATGTAAGGTTTCTGACAAATTATTTTCAACAACTTAAACGCGCAACATCATTCTGACTGCTAATCTCTATTAGGCATCAAACAATTTTATCTGGTGGTAATAGAAGTAGAAAGCGACTTAACATTTTATGTTATTAAGCTAGTGAAGTAATTGTTTATGTACTTTACTCCATAAAAGATCTCTAGTATGTTCTACTTTTTCGGTTCCGCATGTAGACTCTTGACTTCCAGACCAGCTTACCAGGATCTGGTGTTGCACATATCTGACCTTAATTAATTCACGATATTCTGAGGCCATTCCTCACTGCCTGCACTGTATGGATGTCTCGCATCCTTGGAGGCCAACTCATTAGTCTAAATATGGATGCCCGTACATACAAGACTAAAGATCATGGGTCCGTTTGTTATTTGGTTCGTGAATCCTCACTTCTTGGGAGTTCCATATTAGAACAAATCAGTTTTTCAGTGGTTCGTGGTTTTCGATGACTTTCTAGCTGTCTATTCTTGAATTACTATTCATACTTCTTATGACCCTGTCAATCGTTCGCTGGTAACCTTGGTTGTTTTTACTCTTGTTAGTATGTGCATTGTTTACTACGCATATCACACATCCAGGTTATTTTTGTCTGATCATAAATTCTTAATCATGCCTCATCGATAAAGTCAGTCCACTCGCCTTCTTCGCTTCAATTTGCTTCTCTTTTACGCTTTTCTTTATTGTCCATCTGCTCACGCAAATGTATGAAATAAATTCATCTAAAATAAACTGTAATTAGCTTATAATTTCCGCCGTCTCATAAACTTGGGTTCGCCCAAAAATAATAGTATGGGGAAATTGTAAGAAAGATCTGTTTCATAGAATATCGAGTCATTCTTCCGAAATGGAGTCAAATCCTGGGTCACTAAAATAAAAACATTTCTGAACTCGCCTAATGCAAGCTTGTACATCGTAAGGAACAACGCTTTTTTTCGATGTTAGATTGCTCTTTCGTTCATTCTTTAATTTGTTATAAACCAACTTTACATTGATTACATTTTCAGATTATGATTTTCGGTTGACCTTCCTATTCCAATGTATTTCTCTTCTAGTGGAAACCAATATGAATTGCTCTGTTTATAAAGGTTAACTTTTACTTTCGACCGCTGTATGTTGTACTGGTCGGTTAGTCACTCAGCTACAACGTAGAAGTTCGAACGTACATACATCAGTTCAAGCTGCCATACCACACCAACACACAGAGATCGGATTGTCGAATCAGATCCCATTGTAGTAGATGTTGTAGAAATATTAGCGGTAACGGAGAAGATTAGGGTTCGAGGATGTTATTCAAGAAGTATAATCCTGTGAAATAAATTTGAGAAGATAAAGATTAAGGTCATGAAGAATTGAGGTTAGAATTTGAGAGAAGACAAAGGATGGATGCACATACGCCGTTGCAAATGGTTTGGAGCCATGTCGTACAAGGTCTTTGACCATCGGTTACTGTCGTCTCGCGGACCCCAATCTGGTGGTCTACATTGACTCAGTCCACTTGTCAGTGACCTTATGAATTAGTGTCGTATATTGGTTTAGCCGTCCCTACCTTCCAGCATACTCCTACATCAGACAGCACCGTTTATCCAGGCAGTCTATTGTGGAACATACGTAGCACATTTCCAAACCGCGCCAAAGAATGAAAATGTCGTCTCTAAGAGCATGTCAATGACGAAGTTAAGCAAGAATGAAGAAAGTGGACAGCGCTGACGGACATCACTTGAATTAATCAGTTCCAATGACAGTTCGTCATAAGTTCTGACTCGACCAGTATTGTTTGAGTAGAGAGCTTGTACAAGATTAATTTACTTTTTTGGTACACCTTTTATTGACAAGCACTGCCACAGAACTTCAGGATCAACAGAGTCAACTGCACTGGTTAGATACCAGATCTACATTTTAGAATTATAAAGTGTATGGCTAATTGTCTAATGAATATACCAGTATATTCATAGTTCTTAAATAACTCTCTTATTATATATTTTTCATTTAGATAAATTCTACACAAGAATTATTATACGTGATCTTTCTGGTAAATATAGCTGGGATGCTTCTTATTTATATGGCAGTATATTTGGAAGTGAAGATAATCAGCAATCGACTACAGACTTACCAGTAGTTGATTCTGATGATTTGAATTCAAGCTTGCTCACACGTGATCCACCACCATGTCCTCCTCCAAGGGTAAATCCGCCTTCATTAACAACGAACAGCATAACATCAGATACGATTGATAATTTCGATCGGTTAAGTGATGTAAGTTTGTTTTACTTATCAAAACAGTTTGTTCTGTGTACCGACCTTTTTTGCTTCTCTGAGGAAAACGTCTACATATGGTTTTGTCGTTTTTATATTAATATGACTTTTCAATGGAGTTACTTATAAAGAGTGTTGTATATTTTTATTTGAAATAGACATTCAAATCATAAAGATATCACTGAAATCATGAATGGACCTAAGTTAGACACTTGAAAATCTGTAAATATTGAACGGCTTTTTTTAGACTCCTCACCAATGAGTGTACACAACCGGCAATCGAACCTAAAACCTTTTCATCATGTGTGGGAAAGGTTCGCTCAGTATTATGCATTTGTTTGTGTTTGACTTTGAATTATACTTAAATAATATCTTCGAACCCTAATCTTCTCCATTACCACTAATACTCCTAATCTCTCTACCACTATGGGATTTGAATTGACAATTGCCTCTCTGTGGTAATGTGGTACAGCGACAGGAACTTATGTAAGTATGTACGAAGCTATACGTTGTAACTGACTGACTGGTTGATGTTTCGCTTGAACATCGTTGAGCACCGGCTCAATCGTTTAGAGGCTAAGCATTCATACGTGTTACTGAAAATCCTTAGCTCGATGCCAGACTGCACAGTTGAGAAGTCCCGTACTTATACAAAATATCCGTCTAGTGCTCGCTAGTTTTATTTGTTGTCTTCGATTAAATTCAACAATCTCAACAACCTTATACTGATTCACCTAAACCCTAGTCAATGTTAGTGTTTTGTTTTCACCTACCAATCAACATTAGAGTACCATTCAATTCTGTGAAGGAGGATTAAAAATTTCTATGACTGTAAACAATGCCTAAAATATCTTAATGTTTTAAGAAATACTTCAGTCGAATTCAACGGAGCCCTAGATCTAGTTATTAAAATTTGATTGCTTGAAACCCAATAACTACTACTTTTAACTAGTGTATATTGTATACACCTAAATCTGATTGAATACAAAATGAAACTTATTAAGATAATAATTCCCTTACTCATATATGAAAAGTGTACTTTTTTTCATCATAACGAAAACAAATTAACTTATAATTATGAGTTTTGAAATAAAATTGTTTACACACATAATGCGTTGAAGATATCAAAGTAGCTCAATCAACAGAGTTGAAAATGTGGATAATTAAATCCACTACTCAACAGTTTAAAGGCATCATCTTAGCAACAAGACCGTTTTACTTACAGTCATGAAGTATTATCACTGAAATGATCCAACTCAAAATGAGACCACTGTCAAATACTTCTGTCTTTTGATTGGTCCTCAAGTGAAGGTTGTACTGGTTCATAATATAATCGGCTTTTTTCAAAATGTTTAATGAAATTATAAACACAAATAATCACGTGGTTAAAATGACCGTAGACACTGTATCGTTGTATGTAAATCATCCCATTTTCTCACTATCATGATTGTTCTCGTTCACTTTTTTTGTACCAGGTTTTACGAGATTTGGCAAAAACTAGTCCAGAATGCTCTATTAACTGGTTCACTTCAAAGCCATATGATTATGAAAATTCACAAAATATCTCTGACAAAGAAGAAATTGCATGTCAAAATATGGAGAAAGTGACATGTGATCAAATAACTGCTCAATGTCAATTAGATGAAGATATAACTCATCGGAAATTATCAAACTTATTAGATTTGTACGTTGAAAAATTATTTATGTTTAGTTTCTTTTTTTCGTTTAGTCAATTTTATTGATTTTTCCATTCTCTAATTAATTGAAGCTTGAATACACTTATCTATTAAAGCATCTTAGGCTGTAAGTTTCTTTATATGCATTTGCATTACGGGGTTTTGAAGATTGTTAAGTCACACATTTTCGAAACCATGAATCGATCAATGTTAGACCACCATTAGAAGAAACCTGGAAGCACTGGGCGGCCGTTTCGTCCTGGTATGGGACTCCTCAGCAGTGCGCATCCACGACTCCTGCACCCCGCAGGATTCGAACCCAGGACCTTCGGTATTGTAGGCGAACGCCTAACCATCGGACCACTGAGCCGGTATCTGACGGTGTTAATGTCTAACTTGATCGAATTCACGGAGTTGCGCAACCTCATACACAGTCTTCGGTAGTTACTGTCTAGACCCGAACAGGTTGAACTTCACTAGTCACGTCTTCCCACTAGAACTCGGAGAAGATTCCTCACGATGCTAGTCACTAGTGAGCACAGGTAATTTGCATTACGGAGTTGTGAAGATTGTTAAGTTACACATTTTTGAAACCATGAATCGATCAATGTTAGACCACCATTAGAAACCTGATAGCACTGGACGGGGTTTCGTCCTAGTATGCATTCAACTATCTCGATTTTTGATGCAGCTACACTAATTGACATCATTGAATGATAGTTGTGTAATAGCGTGAATTAACTAAAGTTAGACATGTGAATTATTGAATCGTCTGATCAGTTTTCTAAAAGCTAAGTGGTCACCATCACACTTGAAAGTCACAGGTTCGATCCTTGATTGGGGTCATAGGTGCACATTGCTAAAGAGTCATATACTACAGTCAATCAACTTTTCAGTGCTTCGTAAATTTCAATGATTCTTCAACTTAAGTCAATTCATGATGTGAAGTATGTCTTTTAAAATTATAATACCTCTTTCAATAGCTCTCTATGTATAACAAATAGAATTCAGGTATATCATGGATGGAACGATCAAAACTTACTTATCAAGTAAGAGTTCATACACCAGGTTGCTCCAGCAGATGTAGTTATATGCTTTAGTGTAACAGATAAATATGCATCAGTACCTGCCCTTCAGTTTCTCTCTATATTAACTATCATAGAATGGGAATGTAGACAACGATCACAGATATTAAGTGTGGGACATATCTTTATCAACTAATTTCATAACATTTTTTACAACCGATAGATTATTATTCCTTTATTTATCTGCTATTCATTCAATTTTATTTTTTAAAACGTTGCTCATATTTTTTTTTGTATTGTCTCTTAACTTTCATCTTATTAGATCATCATTATATAATTCTCAACCAGCTAGTCATATAAATTCACCGAAACGTACAATTCGTTCATTAGTCAATGATAAAAAAACAAATTTCCATGAATTACAATCCAATACTAATAATAAACAAACTACTACTCTACAATTTAATAATTCACGTCATTTATTAAATCAATTAGGTTATTTATCATGGAGACATAGACCTATGATTGAATTATTACAAAAATCTCCAGCTCTTGTACGTGAATTAAAACATTTAGATAATCTTGGATCGTAAGTTCATTTGATAAATTGTTTTTTTTTGAAGAAAAAAAAACTCTAGAAACTTTTTAATACAGTTTTTGCTGAATTTAAAGCTGAATAACACAAGTTCAAGCACCTCATCGAGCTTCAGTGCTGACGCATTTCAACAAGCGGAATTTTTTCCTCACGGACTACATCTAACCAACTTAAGATTTTAAAATATTAATTCCTTGATGTAATCACATTCTCTATTCATCAATAGAACTGTTGATCAAAAATGAATTAGAAAATTACATGTAGGCTACCTGGTTGGGGTCTGCGAGACGATAGTCACCAATGGTTAGAGACCTTGAACGACATGGCTCAGAATCGTTTGCAATGGCGCAGGTGCATTTACTCTTTGTGTTCTATGAAATTCTAAGCTTCTGCATTCCTCATAATCTCTACCTTTCTCCTTCTAAATTTATCTTACTGAATTATACTTCTCGAATCATATCTTCGCTCCATAATCTTCTCCATTACTGCTAATACTTCTACTGTCGCTATCACTCTTGGATTTGAACTGACAGTTGCATCTGTGTGCTGATGGCGCGTGGCAACCTGAAATGATGTACTTATGTACGCAGTTCTGTGTTGTATCTATCTGTCTGTCTGAATTAGACAAACATTGCATTCGATCAATAATATATTCAATGATCAAACAATTGTATCTAGAGTTGCTCAATTTATAAATCCTCTATGTAGAGATTTACATATATCATTCTCTTTCATTTCTCCACAATTGTTTACATTGTGGTGCGCGCTACTTATAAGTAGTATATGACGTGAGTGTCAACGTAATGTCTGGCAGCAGAAGATGGGGGAAGATCAAGAAAGGAAGAGTGGGAACACAATGGAATTTGTATGAAATGCATGAATAGTGAAATGTCACACAATGGATTGAAGATTTGCAAATTAACCGTTTACGATATGATTTTCCTATTTTACTGAGTAACTCTGTAATTTTCGTTAAATACAATTCGGTTGCCCTCACCTGTGTTCTCCTTCATTACAACATGTGAACCAAATTTTAAAGTTCCTAGTTAATTTATATCATATGAAATTATATCACAACAATGTTGTAGTAAACATTAAAAAATTAAACTCTAACTGACTGATTTGTTCTTCAATATATTTTTCTCCAAAAATTAACATTGCTCATCTCACAAATGACAAGTTTCTCTAGTTCTATGATAATGTCAGTCTTTTTTTTTCCATAAATCTCAATATAAAATTGTGTATAGATTTTCTGGTGTTGTGTGATGATATATGAGCATTAGAATTCATAATTTTCTATTATCATCAAACCACATGATGATATTTGTCATCAGTGGTAGTTGATAATGAATGATGAATGATTGATTCAATATATTGTGTTAAATTATTAAATTGAAAAAAATTTTCTTATCATTGATATTGATGATAAGGTGTGTGTTAATGATTAGAAGTATTCGAATCAATATTAAATTGACTAGAAAAGTTACTAGAATTGTCGCATTCAAGTCAGATATATTAGCTTTATGAGCACAATCAAACTTATTATTGCTTGAAATCCGAATTAAGCGTGGAATCTCGCGTAACATCAGTTAAACAAACGAACAGATGTATAAAGACTTGCATTTTTTTAATTTTTGATTTGCTGAGAACTGTTGCAGTTAATCAATCTGTACTTCACATATATATGCATACTGGACATATTACCTGTTTAGTTTTTATTTAAATCGGTTAATAGTGGCTAACAGTGTAATCTAGGTACTCGGTATAATTACAATGTAAATACTTTCATTTTTGGTAAAAGATACAAGAAGAAAATTACTTGAATAACATTATTTTTTACCTAGTTAGTTTTTTTTCAGTTAGAGCTTTGGAGATTTGTGTTTTTTACACATTTGTGATCATCATTCAATCATTGTTAGACCACCATTAGAAACCTGGAAGCACTGGACGGCTGTTTCGTCCTGGTATGGGACTCCTCAGCAGTGCGCATCCACGATTCCTGCACCTCGCAGGATTCGAACCCGGGATGTTGGTTTTGTTTTTATTTCTTGATATAGTGATTTCACTCATGACAGATACTGTTTGGTATACTTTGTTTCTGTTTACAATATCCATAATAATAAGTTGTAACTGTACGTAAGGTTGTATTATTGTTTTATATCTATTATTATTATTATTATTATTATTATGTCAGGCGTGAAACTCATAAAATAGCAATATTCTATGTTGGAGCAGGACAAGAAGATAAACAATGTATTTTATCTAATCAAACAGCTAGTTTAGAATTTGAAAATTTTGTAGCTGGTCTTGGTTGGGAAATTGATCTACTTACACATAAAGGATTTCGTGGTGGACTAGAACGTAGTGGACGTGCTGGTTCATCTACACCATATTATGTAACATCTACTATGGAAGTTATTTTTCATGTTTCAACAAGAATGCCTTCATCTACTCAAGAAGATTTAAAAGTTAGTTTATTTTTCATTTAAATCCTACAGATTTGCTTTTTAATCCACTCGAACTTATCTATCTTTTAGTTTAGTAGATACATACATAATACATTACTAGTCTAATAGAAAGAGTATTATTGATCTCTTGCATTATTTGTGCAATTTATTTTAAAAAAATACTAAACTTAATCATACATACATGAAATTGAAGTACTTTTAATAACTAAATTTCTCCCTACCAAACATTTCGTATGATTATCTACAAGTCCAATGTACACTAGGTTTTCAAACTTCAGCGATTCTATTGAAATACTATATCAATCTTGAGATGTAGATACGTCTATCTGATGAATCCAAAGTAATTTGAAATGATTGTATTAGATCTCGCTACTGGTCACTATCCATCTATTTGATTACTCGTATAATTGCACATGAATTTAGTTGATGTACGTTTGATGATTCACTCGAATACATTCCTTGAACAAGAAAAAATAAGATCATCCTACTTAAATATAAAGCTTAGCAAACTATTATTATGATTATTACACAAATTAAATTACTTACCTACCTACTTATGCCTGTTTCTCCCAGCGGAGCATGAGCCACCACCGATCAGCATTCTCTAACCTACTCTGTCTTGGGTTTTCTTTTCCAGTTCTATCCAGTTTACGTATTCGCTCTTTTCATATCCGCTTCCAATGCTCAACATAATATGTTCTTTGATCTTCTGCTTTTCCTTTTTAGCTTAAGTTTAAATTAGATACGTACTAATTATTATGGAATGTAAATGTTTACTGATTATCTCATTTAGTTGTAGGATAAAATTGTTATTTTCGTGTACATGATAGTTGAATAATTTATTAACTGCTTCTGCAGTACAATTAATATCTATTATTTTTGTCACTATCTCATTTTACCTCGTCAGTTGTAAAGATCGACTTTGCATATCACCCTTCCTTAATGTGTAGCGTGTAGACATTTCAAGTTGGCAAGTTGTTCTTTGTTAATTATTATCACCTGTCCAAAAAATCAATCGCTTGAAAATGAAATGCAGATTATTGTATGCGATTCTACAGTGCAATATAGAGTCATTGTAATTAATTTGAGAATATAATTCGAATGTCGTTATATTATACAATTATAATTTTTAATTAGTATTCTCTATCCCCTATTGAATATTATAAATGCTCATAAGTGTTTTTGTTCAGTTTATAGTTTCTTATAAATTATTTGATATAGTCAATACTAAATAACTGGATTCATATATCATTTTTATAATCAAATAACTCTTTCAGATTGTTGTCTAATTCTTTCCTTTTTCTAATATTACTTACTAGTATAAACATTTGGGAAACGATGAAATTATGATTATATGGAATGAGAATTCACGTGCTTTTCGACGTAGTATACTGCGTACACAATTCGGTGATGTATTAATTATTATTTCACCTTTACCTAATGGATTGTATAAAGTTGAAGTACGACGTGAAGCACAGGTTTGTCAGATCGATTACTACGTTTTCTATTGATTATTTTTTTCATTATTGGTTCTTCTCTTTTCTGCTAATATTCCAGTGGTGCTTCCAGTCTCCTACATTGTCTGTACATTCCATCGACCGTGTAACTTACTCAGAAATTTTCGGTTTCACTATGAGGTGTCATAACTTTGTTGTATGAGGACCTTTTAACTCCTAGCTCAAAGCTTATATCATCTAGTTAGCAATTGTTTAGCAAGGTTTTATTTCTCTCAGTGGGGTTCATAACCTCCTGTCCCCAACCCTACTGTTTTATTCGAGCTTAAGATTGGCAGTAACTAAAATTGTTTCAGGTGGTGACCTCCTGTAAATTACTGTCAAAAACTAATTATAATAAATAGTTATTGAATATCCTACACGTTTCACTGATTAGAGACGAATGTCTCTATTCCCTGAACTATCTACGTTTCATCGAAGTTGTGGTGAATTTCCAACATTCTTGAAACTTTCATTCTACTATTAGTATATATATGATCATTTATTTGGTAATACAACATATTCTGTTCTAAAAAAAATTTAATATAAAACGTGATTTTTTATCATCCTGTAATGATAATTGAACTCTGGATAAATATAATTCATTGATACTTTCAACTTAAATATTACAAGAAATGCATACTTTAAACTAGGGTCTATGTGTTGCTTTAATTTTTGATTTAAAAATCAAGTGTATTCCTTTCATCGAGTGTTATTAATATCAGTAGAATCATACTATTTATTGAATAACCTGTAGGATAAGCTTGTACATAATATGTATATGACAATAATATCCTAATCAGCCAACCTGCGTCACTTATGGCGTAGGCGAGGTATCCGTTCGCTGAACAAAGGACGAGTGTACTGCGCATCACTTCACTCCATCCTACTTTATGGCTGTGAAACATGGCCGTTAAGAGTAGACGATATTCGTACGTTATGACTATTCGATCACAGATGTCTTAGATGCATTGCTCTTGTATCCTGGGACACCTAGATTCCACTTGAATAATATCTCCGAACTCTAGTCTCTCCGATTACTGCTAATACTTCTACCACTACTACTATTGGATTTGAATTGACAATCACACCTCTGTGCTGTGGTATGGCGACTTGTACTGATTTACGTACGCACGAAGTTCTAGTTTGCTGATGATTGATTGAATATCCTTATCAAAATAGTTTTTTTTATGTAAAAGAAACTATGTATGAGATAAAATGTGTAGTCAATTCACATGTGAGATTGACTTTAATGTAATTTCTCTCCTCAAGTGCCGCCTCCTTTCATGTTTACCTTTCTCACATTTTTGATGTGATACGCACACATATTATATTAAGTATAAACTATATTTATTAGATATCTTTCTATACTCTCGATTTCTCTCTAAATTAAAGGTTGGTTTATTTGGACCAATTGTGGAAAATGCTCTCTTAACTGCAAATGTTCTACCAGGTTTAGTTCGTGCTACAGCTATCAATGCAAGTCGTGCAGTTCAAGCATTGAAACCGGGATATCGTCATCCGTATCCTTTCTTGTTGTTTTCAAGATTATTTATTTCAATTTAGGTTTTCTTTTATCGATACTTTAACATTATTGCCTTTAATGATAGATTCTTTGTTTATCTTTGCCCTGTGTTTGTTGGGTGTAAAAAAATTGATATTTTTGACCTTGAACACTGTACTACTGAAATCCAATTGATTACTATATTATTATTTCAGCTGTTTTAAACAGTCAATTCATATTTTCCCTTATTACGTATAACACCACCAGATGATTTAGTTAGCAGCCTATAAGGGGATTGTAAACTTCTTTATTAGGGTTCCCGCCAAAGTAGCTTTTTGAAATATTATAATTTTTCAAACGAAAAACTGTAGTTATGAATTATTACAATTAAAAGTAAGCATCTAAATGATATTTTATTCTGTCATTCCTCAAATTTCCTATAGTCAAGGAATATTAGGTAACCAGTGTTGTGAACAAATGTAGCATATGTAATGAGTTTCTGTGGAAAATAGTTTAGTTTGTAAATAGTATTCATCTATCTTACAATACCATTAAAAACTAGTTAGTGCCAAGCGACCTCACTAAGGATTTGAACTAAGTGCCTTCAGGTTTCACGACGAATGCCAAACCGTTAAAACCACTAGTCTAGAGTCCAAGGGCACAAGTCAGTTTTTTGATATAGTGTGACACTTACTTAATGCCTTATGTGTGCACTTTAAAGAGTCCCGTGCTAGACCGAAACAGATATCTAGTACTCTCTAGTTTTCGACGACACTTCAAACGAGATCATTCTATAAAAAATTCTACTTACAAATGTAGTATAATTAAACATTTGTATATTATCTGTCAGAATTATTCTAACATACAGTGCTTCTTTCTTAACTCTGAAATATTTCAATTTATATCATAAAATAAATACAAAGATATGAAGATCGTGCTTCAAGTCTACAACAAATAGTAACCAAATACACTTTATCAACATGTTTTGAAGAGTACGCCGAATGGATACTTTTGCCAAATTCAAAAACTGGTAACTATTTATTTTTATGTACTTTTATTATGTTGTACACAGTCATTATGCTTTATTTCATCACCTACATGTTTATTGTTTCTATAGTAATCTAATATTTCTATGCTTTACCTACATTGTTGAATTGTGTGTATTTCTATTGTTTCACAAAAATAATCACTATTGTGTGTGTACAAATCTCTCTCTCGCTCTCTCTCTGCCTCTTTGTATGCATAGATGTCCATTTAAACATATATTCTGTTACATTATAATTCACTTAGATTAGGTATATGTATATTTAAGTGAACACTATAGTTTTTGATGAGATACTCATCAATCTACAGTAATGTTTTTTTTAATGGATTTATGAGAATTATTAAGCCAACAATGAAAGCAATTTATGCAGTCAGTAATTACACTGAAACAGATTTTATCAATATTAATGTTGATATCGAATTGTACTTCACTTAAACAAATGTATAAATAAATCAAACTGTTGCTTGATATAATATAATGTAGACTCATAAAAATATTTTCCCCTATTCATGAACTTCAATAAAGATTCATAATTCAACATTTATTGAACAACTACTCCTGGTTACCATAGCAGTGGAAAAATGCAGTTTTTTCTGTTTGTTTAGTGTCATCAATAAAATTACAAAAGTCCCATTCGTATTTATTCTTTTTAAAATTTAATAAGTAATTTCCCCGTAGGTCTTCAATTTAGTACAGTTTATTGTTTTTTTTCTTATATTCAACAAGTTACCAATATGCACTACACTCTAATAAATCAATGAGTACTTTTTTTTCCTTGTTAACATCATCTCACCATCACCGTAACATTGGCTTTAATAATCTTGTTTCTTTATTCATATTTATGTATATATAAATTGCTTTTACTAATGTTATGTTAAATTTTAATATTTATAAATACTTTTTTCTTTTCATCTGTTTACCCCCCCCCCCCCTATTCAACCTTATTATTATTAGTTGAAAGTGTTTAGCTTCATCCTGTGTTTGTGTGTCTTTGTAAGAATTCAATTATTTAATGTATATAAATTTTTAATTGGTTAAGTGTTCTTTTTTTTAGTCGCTTTATGTTCGTATGTTTTTGTATGTTTCAACTATGCATAAATTCTTGCATAGATGATGATGATCGCCTTGTGGGTTGTTCAGATAAATCATGTCTATTGATTAGTTGATGATTGCCAACAACAAAATATTATTATGCATGTTGTAATAATAATAATGATAAAAATAATAGTTTATTTTCTCTTCTATTCATTTTATTGTAACTAATTCGTTCATTTTGTCTATTCAAGCATAAAATTACTCTGCCTATTTCAATTACTGCTTATTTGATCTCTAGGCTCGATTATGTCATTGGAACAAGTGATTAGTCGCCTGCATGATGAAATAAAACGTTAAACTTCTTCTTCTCCTCATCCTCCTACTACTACTATGATTAATGTTACTTCTTATTTTATCCTTCGTACAAATTCAATTTAGTGAGTGCAGTATTACATACACACACTTTCATGTTCACCAGTCCGTATTCATGTATATGTATATCAGTGTTTCATTTCACTGTTTGTCATTGTGATGATCTCTGTTAGTTTTTAGTGTTATTCTATGCATTTGATTTTGTGTTTTGTTTATTTATCATTGGAGATTGGTTAGTAGTTACACTGTTGTTTTGTTTTGTTTCTGTTTTTTCTCTCAGAAATTAATTTAGTCTTTTTTGTTGATTGCTACAACTGCATGTGTGTGTGTGGTTATTGTGGGTTTACTTTTTGTATATTTTGTTGTAAATTTGAATAGATGCTTGTGATTCGTTGTTTTGTTTTTCGCTTGTTCCGGTATCGTTGTCGCCGTCATTATATTCATTTTAGTTGTTGTTGTTGGTAATGTTTAATTAGCTGTGTAATTTTGATGGTTTTCAAATGATTGTTGACTTTTTTTTTTAATCAACCTATTGATTTTCATTTCTTTTTTTCCAGTACCCCGCAATCAATCAGCTAGAAAGTTGAGTCGAAGTGCAACTACTAAAGCATATGGTGTGAAATTCTCTGCTATTCCTTCTATTATACAAGAAAATCATCATATTTATTCACAAAATACACTAACTTCTAATCTTGTTTTAGACGATGTCAGTAAAAGTAATACTTTGAAACATTCCAATGATGTTGTGCAAATTTCTACTATTCGACAAAAAGAACACATCACTTCTGTGCCTTCATATCGATCAATCACAACAACAACAACCCCAAGTACACATTCAAGATCATCATCAGCGACTCGTCCTAAAAGTATGTTTTCACGATCTTCTCATGTGGACAATTTGAATAGTAAACCTATTTCTGTAATTCCTCAACCTTCATTAATAAACACTAAATCTGCAACACTTCATCATCATCATTATAATAATGAAAATTCTTATGTATACAAAACAAATACATCTGCCAATCCAATATCTAGTCCACGATTACTTCGAGGATTAAGATCACGTCGACATAGTGGCTCCAATAAAATCAATTAGAAATGAATATCTTTTTAGCATATATGTTATTATTTATATAAATCTAATCTATCTGTAACTCGTTCATCATATCATCTCAGCGCTTAAGAAGCAAGAAAATTCCCTTGTTTTTTTTTCTATTATTTTTTTATACTGTTTTCTGATCAATATTGTGTGTGTGTGTGTGCGTGTACCGACTAAATAAAACAAATAGTTCTTTTGTCTTTTTTCTCATCACTTCAAAGATTGAACATTGAATTCACTTCATTCATACTAAATATAGTTCACAATGATGGTTGCTTTCTTTAGTTAGTCTAACTACACTAATTATCAACAATTACAATATTTGTAATAGTGTTGTATATATATAATAATGTTGTTTTCTTTGAATTTCACTATTATTATCATTTTAAAAAGAAATAATAATAATAGCTTTTACTACTATTGAACAATTAGTTTATCGCGTCTTTTTTTTTTAATGAATCAAGAGAATGAATATACACACTATAAATACGTTGTTGGAAAGGTGTCGAGGCTACTTAGTTCTCATGTTTGTCAAAGTAAATAGAAAGGTAGGTAGAAGCCAGCCAGCCATTAAGTTGATGTCAAGTGTTAACAATCAAGTTACTACAATCAATTGTAATCATTGCTATGACGTAAGAAATATATTCATTAATCTGAATCACTTGGCTCTACGTCAAAAAAGTGACACTAAATCATATTCATGGGTTGAAATACTAATAGTCACAGTAAAAAGTAGTTTTCAGCTTGTCGGTCTAATTTTCAATCAAGAATTTTACTAACTACTAATTAACGAGGTGTTCTAAACACAGAAGAGTAGCTTTCATGATAGATATGATATTGAGGAGGTGTATCTCATTTAGACTCCCGTTAATTGGCCACCATTCTTGATTAAAGCCTTCAACTACTAATGTTTGTTTAGTCCACAGGAGCGATATAATAGTACCAAACTATTATGTCATGTACCAACACCGATCCTACAGGAAAGTGATACTCCCTTAGGAGTAGCTTCCTAATCAAACCATCAACTGAAATGAAACAACCATAACTAATAACGGTACTGTACATCTTGACCTGATGATTGTACCATAATTAAGTCTTTCAATTATTTCAGGTCCTCGACAGTTTGGCATTATATTATCTACCCATTAGGAATACATGTTAACAGGCAATTACCAGATCATAGCTGCTACCTTGACGTGGTGATCGAACTTGTTAATCGTGATGAACAAACCGAGCTATATTGGTTGGAACATATGTTCCTTTAGGCCCTACCGTGTCTGGCAGGTCGATTGGAGAACGATGAGACTGAAAGCAGCAACTCAGGGTTTGAGGGTGAAGTCATTCTGCTGACTGTCGAGAGGTGTGACAGCAATAAGAGATTTTCCTCGGGAAACCAGCATCTGCAGCGATTCTGCCTTCTCACAAAGGAAGTAAGGGTTAGAAATGGTCGACTCTAAAAATGTCACACCTCACCTCACGAATTTCCGTCCCTGGAGTGAAGGTCACCCAAAAAGTGACACTAACGACCAAAACTCACGGGACTGATGTAACCCCATTTTAAATTACAACAGGATCCCTTATCTAGAAACTTAAAATCTCGCGCCATCGGCGTATGCTGCGTATACAGCGTCCGAATAGCATCATTTATTTGATTAAAGATAATACAGATATAGAACCAGCTGGACTTACGCTCCGTTTAGCTAGAAGTCCTATTTCTGCTCCCCTTTGGTTTAGTATTAAGGGCTAGGGCAGAACTATTCTCTCGTAGACTGGATCCCAGTAGATAGTCGCTTGTGCACTGTCCGACTAAATAGGACTCGGAAAAATAGGGAAACTCGTCGTATCTGTCTACGCTCCTACTGACTGCAGTTCAGACGAGGTAAAAGATGAGTTTTACAGAAAGCTTTTAGAACTCAGCCAAAATGTTAGGCGCTCTGATATAACACTAACTTTAATCTTAAGGGAAAACATCTTTTGATATTGGGACCCCCAAAGTCGTCTCGGCGCTGGACACAACTAGATCACATCGCTATCAGCCACCGATGGAGGTGTTGGATAGAGGACTGTCACTCGATCTGGGCACATGTTAAGATTCAGATCATGTCCTACGGCGAACGCGTATTTGTTTCAGACGTAAGAAAGCCACCGCAAGAAAACCTAATTATAGCAGAGCCTTGAATATATTTCAGGAACAACTACAAAAACAGTTAGGCAGCTATGTAGTAAATGATTCCCATCCTGAGACAACTTGGAATGATATCCAAAAGGCTGTGGAAACAGCACGCATATCTGCTAGTAGGTTAAACCATAGGGATAAGAAGAAACAGTGGATTTCAGTAGCATCTATCGGACTGATGACGCGCAAACAATCATCCCATCAGGCTCTAAATATAACGAAGATTGAAGTGAGCTTAAGCGCAGGCTGATAAAAAGACTCCATAATGATCGCGAACAGTGGTGGTTAGCGAAATCAAAATCGAGGGAAAAGGCAGTGATTATAGGCCACAGTAGGTAACTGCTCAAACTTATCAAGGAAACCGGTATTAGGCATCCGACTGCTAGACTATCTCGGACAAAGGTGGTCTTATTAACTATTCCCAATCCAGGAGACTGGACTGATGGGCAAAAAACTTTAGAGATTAGTTCAACTGGCTTTCAGCCACACTTTGGTTGCCCATGATCTCCAGTCATCCTGAATGGCAAATCGACGTAAGTCCTCCGAATCTTTATGAAGATGAGAAAGCTATAGGAAATCTGAAGCGACGGAGAGCAGTAGGGCCTGACAGTCTTGCCTCTGAGATTTTTAGGGATGGTAGTCCAGTTCTAGTAGTTAAATTGACTGAGATCTTAATTAGAATCTGGGAACTGAACGTAATCTCATCTGACTGGTCTCAGTCGCTGATTGTCCCAGTGGATAAGGAAAGACAAAAGTCCTCCTGTGACGATCACAAAGAAGTCACTAAGACTCCATAGCTTAACGAAAGCTCGTGAAGATCAGATTAGAGGAAGCCAGACTGGTTTCAGACTTAAACTCTGATGTACAGACCACATTTTCACACTACGTCCGACCCAAGGACATTGGCATTCGTTCCGACGCCTCCCAATGGTAGTATTTCTCTCCCAGAAAGCGGTATTTGACTCTGATGATCGTGAAGTTCCGTAGCAGTGTCTGTCGTTAAAAGGTGCACCAGGACATTACGTTAACCTTATACAAATTCTATACTCAAACACCACTGGTCGAGTGAGAGCTTTTGGCAAACTGTAATCATAATTGGTTACTTCAGGTGGTGTCTGTCAGGGCTGTCCACTTTCTCCATTCTTGTCTAATTTTTTCATAGACATGCTTCTAGATATAACATTATCTTCGTATGATGATTAGAAGTATGTGAATCAAGAACTAAGGGATAAGCACAAACGAATGTATTATATTTAGAATTCGAAATCAGGCATTCAACAAAAACAAGAAGTCACTAGTTAATTGAAACACCACATCCGCCACAGCTTAAATTGGAACGCAAGTGTCTGTAATCAATTGTACGTCTTCTTCTCAAATCTATCCTGTGTCTGTCCGACAGTGTATTGGATAAAGGCTCTGTATTATCTAGAATGCTCTCATTAGTATTAGAATTAACAACCGAAATTGGAACAGACTGATCTGGTTCCTGGAATTGTATTTGATCAACATGTCGATTGTGTGTACTTAAGTCATTGATATCTAGAAGTCGCACCATAGATTTCCGGACATTCTTCAGAACAATCCCCGTGGATGGTCGAAGATCATTGCCACGATAACTTCTGCAGACTCCAAACATCTCATATTCGACCGAAGAATTTTTCCTTTTAATAGCTTTGATGGAGTCCCTTTCGTCACCGAATGTCTGGCATTTCTATATTGCAGTAGAAAGGTATCGACTCCCTTCTCCAGCTCATTAAATGTTGAGGCGGCAATAGAATCAATCCACTTCGAATGCTGATTTTTCAGCTTATGACACTTTACACAATTGTTTGCTGTACGACAAATATCTGCATTTATCTCTGGCCACCAACACGTGAGCCTCGCCAAGGACAACATTTTCTCAACACCTGAATGTCCACTATGAAGATCTTCCAGGACAGCTTTACGCAGTGAAGGAGGAATAACAACCCGATCATTTAAACACAAAATACCATCAGTAGTAGTGGATAGCTCATCCCGCTTTGAAAAATAGATAGGGAATCTGCGTTTCAGATTAGCATTCCAACCTTTCCGTATAGCATTAATTATACATCCAAAGTTTCAACGAGTTTCTCTAATGAGATCTGGACGTTTCACTGGTAAAGGTTGCACCAACAAAAAGTCTGAAGTATTAACAGGTCTATCTTGTAATGACTGTCGAGAAATGTAGTCAACATGTTGAATTTGCTTGGCACTCCTGTGCTGAACCGTTTTCATACCTCCACTGCACTTAGCACACGTGGCTATCAAATCTTCAAGTAAAGCATCAGAACTTTCTTCAGAAACTAGGAAAGACAACTCCACTTTAAGTCTTTTCAAATTCTTTAAACCCAGTATTGACAGTCCTGTTTCGCTAAATAAGAATTCACAAGGTATGTATGAGGAATTATCATCTCTTATTAGCAATTCACAACATCCTCGTATAGGCAGTCTGTGTCCAGTAATCCACAATATTGATACTTCAGTGGGTCGTATTGCAACGTTAGGATCTAACGATTTCAAGTTCTTGAATGAAATAGTGGACTCTATACTGCCTGTGTCCACAATAAAGTCATGACATGAACCAAGCGATGTATATAATCGCTTTTGAATATGAGCATCACCTTTCGAAATGGTAGTTAAAGATAAATGATCATTAGGATCAGCTGAATTATTGGAATCTAAATTACAAGATTTAGTACTACTTGAGGCAAAATGAACAATAGCTTTGCATACTGTTTGAATGTGTCCTATCTTACCACATCTAAAACATTTAGCATTACGATATGTACATGAAATACGAGAATGAAGTTTTCCACATGATAAACATTTGCCAAACTTGGTCTCTCCTTTTTGATTTCCTTTGTAATTCTTTTTTGAGATACCGTTCATATTTACACGAGAATAGGAACCTCTGTTAAACGAACACAATTTTGATTGACCCTGAGATTTTCATCATGACAACTAATCAAAGTAATGGAAATCTTCATCGACTGAATATCAAGTTCATTCAACGCCTCGTAGTTAATGCAGGCAGTTCTAAAATCTTGAAAAGAACAGTTTGACATTCTTAACAGCTCTCTTTTCAAACTAGGTATGTTAATTCCTGCAATTAATCAGTTTCTCAGCTGCACATGAAGTTGACCACCTTACATTTGACAGCTTGTTTCTGCAA